TAAATAATAAACTTTATCTAACGGCACTGTATAGGTACTTCTCTAAAATTAGTTTTACCTAAAGTGAACTCTTTACTAAGTTTGTATGAATGTAACAGTTTAACTTCCATAATTCCACTGGAATCAAAATGTTGTTTTTTCCTAAGTGCATGGAGAAAACTGCGCCGGATTTAATTAAGAAACATAGTAGTGGTTCGTACATATAACTATTAATTATTAAACCGGACCATTATATTATTCCTATTTATTTGAAGCAATGTAAAGCAACACAGAGGTTGCCAATAAGGTATATGCTTTCATTGTTGATATTGAACACTTTTCAACGACTCGAAACTTTGTCACAATAATGGCTGGTTCAGCCATTATTTCCTCATATTCCTCTTAACGGCCATTGCCATTCCTGACATCCGCACCACCCACAAAGCCTCAACTTATTCATATCACATTGCGGGCGATTATCATTCCAGCATTAGCCACCGGCTCGGGTGGAAGTGTCAAAAAGCGTGTTCAAACAATGATCGTACAGCACGTGCCTAACGGTTTGGGAAATTGATATTCTCTTTGCCAATTACAGCGTAATCCTTAGTTTATATTCACGGCTGAACAGACATCGATTATTGATACCGTCGTTGGGGCGAATTCAACTGGCCGTGTAACTGATGCATAAATAAAACTATTTCAAATTAAATAAATTATTAGGATACTTTGCAACCGTGGTCACGGGGTAATACGATGTTAAAAATAAGTTAACTAATACATTTCGTTTAAAACGGTTAAATCTAACCATTTTTCAAAAATTCAACTGCGTGTCCACTCACGTAGACTACGTAAAATGCTAGATTCTATTGTTACAATTTATGGGTGTGTTGATAGTGATAACTGATTAACTCGTAATGTGTAAATTGCGCTAAAGTAAAATTTAAATTACCGCCCGACGTTTTAGATGCTTTGCAGCTGCCGTGGTCACGCAGAGACTAGATGGAGGGTGTCTCTGACGTCAAAGTAAAAATCTGCTACGCTAGCGCCATCTCTTCCGTCGAAGTTCGAAATCGCGTTAAATCGTTAAAGTGTTTTATTTAAATGTGTATTACTCGCGTAAACTACAGACAAATTTTAATGATTAATACGTTTTTGTTACACAAAGTTCGCCCTTTGTAAAAAAGTTTAAAAACGACATTTTAACATTATTACGTAAGTGTGTTTATAAAAACTCTTATATGTGTCACATTGATATTACATAACTTAAACTGAATGGTTTACTCAACAACACGGCTATTTCTTCTCAGAGTTAACGATGATGTAAGCGTACAACAATAGTGAATACTGTTCATTATTTATTAATACAATGCACGTTTGTGACACGCGCTAATACTTGTTTTACTAGCTTTGAGACTTGGTTAAGAAATGAGCATTCATTAGTACACAAAACATAATTGCTAAGATATTTTACCTTACAGCCTCCGGGGGTCACTTGTCATTTGGAATGTTACGGTCATGCGGGGCACAGAAATCCCATCAACTGTTATCCTCGACCAGTCTTACTTAGTGTTAAGTGCAAGGTTTTGCGTTTAATTAATAACCTGAACAATGTAAAAATATTTCGGCTGATCGGAGCACAGCTCGTTTCTTCCTTTGGTTTTGAGGTCAGAGAAGGTGTTTAATATGTTACATACACAGTAAAGAAATTATGACTTTTTGTAAGTTTATAAAAAGTGTTTTTGCCGTACATACATACTCGTCGACTTGTTAAAACTAAACTATTTCGTCCTTCGACCTCCTCCTTTTTAAGCATGTTACCCACGACGTGCAGTTCATCCCGCTGTTTCTCCGGTCTTATTAGCCGCAGCGCGATGTTTTGTAGCCTTCCTCGATAAATGCACCAACCAATACATTAAGATTTTTTTAATTCCAACCGGTAATTCCTGAGATTAGCGCAAACAAACTCTTCAGGGTTATATAGTCTATACTATATGTTTTGCTACCTCTATATCTATATATAGAGGTAGTGAAACATATACGCTTTTAGTAATTAGTATTCGAAGCGCGTAGAAATAATTTTTAACACATGTTATCGTTATAAACGTATCAACAATAGACGACACATTTCAGTGGCTATAAAAGCACGCCTGATGTTTACAGCTGTCCATAAAGTTTACATCGGCAATCAATGTTAATGTAGACTGGCTCGTTGATGCAATGGTAGCAACGTACGGTTAATAAACAGCGGGTTCTGGATTCAATTCCAAGGTCAACAAATTTATAGAAATATAGAACATGACTTCTAGAAATAAGAAGAAAAAGATGTATGGAAGAATGTTTTGAAAGGCACGTTGGTATTATGGTAGCAATGTATGGTTGATAATCAATGGGCCGTAGGTTGGATTCCCACCGGGTCCAACATGTTTGTAATCTTTCAATGTATAATTTTCTAAACTTTGGCTTGTGAAATATGAAAGATTCCGAATGTCCGAAGCCAAAATAGGTCTAAAACGCACCTTTCTTGGATATAGCTGGGGATTTACACCTCATGCTTGTCTGTCCTCTATGATAAAAAAATTAATATCCAAAGTTCTGGGTCACGAACCGTTGTTAACGGATGAAAAAGCCGTAAATAGCGTTTCGGTTCTGCTAAGTAGATTTCTAAATGATCAAAATGAAAAGTGTTGATTGTGCATCTTAAATAGGCTAGCATTAAGATGTTATATGGCTACGGCGTTTCAGGTTCCACTAGTGAACCTATCCTTGTCCTCCTCTCTCTAAAAAAGTTCAATATAGACTCGACTAGATAGAACAACGAAATCTCTGCTAACTGTGCCCCGTGGCGATTATCAAAAGATACTGTAAAACGTAGGCTTAATTACTTTTTATAATTTACAATGTCGCTTTGTGCTGTGTAAAAATAATACTTCACCAAAACTCTTCACTTTATTGACTGAGCACTAAGAATTAAACTCGACTGTCCGACCCTACCAGTAGTTCCTAAGATTAGCGCGTTAAACCAAACACACAATCTTTTCGGCTTTATAATATTAGTTTAGATACAACCGGCTATAAAAAGTATTTTCTGTGTAATTAGGACGGGAGTCAGTTTGTTTGACTAGAGTTGTTTCTGGTTGATAAGCTACTGCAAATATAGCGCAATCAAATCAAATTAAATCAAATGAAAGATAATTTGAAAACTTTATTTCCACATGGAGTCAGAGTGTCAATGTGTCCTGTAGTCAATTGTTTTTAATCTAAATAGATTTTTAATTTGAAAAATATTATATTCATTAAAACTAATATTCAGCTTTCATTTATATTTAAATTAAATTTTTAAATATTGTGTGACATTTAAGAATTTAAGTACAAGTAAATATGACTCTTCTCGTCTTTCCTAGTTGGATTTACATAGTTATAAAGGCTTTTTAGTACATATATTCTAATTTGCCTACCTCATAAAGTAAACTGCTTTATAATAAAAGTTTACAGTCCCAGCTGATAAGTGACGCTGTCAGCTTACAATTCACTAAGCCTCACCCGCGGCGCCACTCCTAAAGTAGTTAAGCTAACACAATAAAACGCTACTCTAAATTAGCTCCTCGTTTTACAAGCAATAAATTTAATAGGCGTTTGCGAGGGGCGCTGTTGTCACGCTCAAAACTTTTAACTGCGACAATTCGGTTACCTCACAGAGGGCGTCAGAAATCATATCGGCTAATCTATTTTGACCGTTTATTCTATTATGCAACCCTATCCGATACGTGCCATAGACTAAAAACAATCGACTCTGTGTTGTTGAATCTGTGACGATCGATTTGCAATACAGATTCGAAGTTAGAATATAGTATCAAGTTGTCAATTCTTTTTCAAATGAAGAGTGTAAATAAGACTTGGCTTAAAGGTCTCGCTACCAGGCCATAAATAAATATTTAAAAAATCCTAGAAATAAAAAAATATTATACATGGTACCATTTTGACGTTGGCTCTGACTAATGAAAACATTACGTCTAGTAACTTTAATTCATTCTACTAACCGGTATTTTATTAATTAATTCGAACAACATTGCAATCATAAATTTATTAGTTCAATTAAGATACATATAACTTTGAATAATTATAAATCGATATTAAATGCTTTTGCATCTGCTCGTAAATAAATGTAAAAGAACAAAATTTAAGATTAAATTTACTTTAAGCATAATATATAAATGAAAATCTGATACCTCAAGGCACGGACTAAATTCAAGTCATCATTTTATCAATTCTATTACCACGAAACAGCTGTAATTTAACGCCGATCATAAAAACGGGATTGGATTCGAAATAAAACATGTATTGTCTGTCTCTGAGTAAATGTAAATTTATATTTTATATGTAAAAAGAAAAAAAGAAAGTTTAAATAAAACACTTTAACGGTTTAAAACGCGATATATTAGTTAAACTTATTTGAAAATGGTTTTTAACTAATATATCGCGTTTTAAACCGTTAAAGTGTTTTATTTAAATGTGTGCTACTCGCGTAAACTATAGACAGTATTTAAAAAGAAAGTTATTAAAAAATTATAATGCATGTGATTTTGAAAACTTTTGTATTTATGTAGTTATGCTTCCATTCGAACTGTCTATTATAAAGAGGATATTAATGATAAATTATACTTTTAAGTTTTAATCAATCAAAATAAATTGAAAGCACTTATGTGTTGAGAAACGAATGAAAGATATGTATTTTCAAGTTATAAACAGTTTATTAATCATCTATACAAACATCAGCCGTAATCGAGTAATCTACAATAATTTACAGTCTTTCAAAGTAATACTTACAACATTTCATCAAACAATAAATAAGCGAATCTTTTTAAATGCGAAATTTGGTATCGTTATTGTACAAAAGTTACACAGCTATAAACACTATGAAGTCTATTTACATTGTCGGACTCGCTTCGACATTTCAACGAAGCGATATAAGCCGATCGCCTACCGCCGGCGATGCCGTTACAATGAGATCGATCTCTTATTTGCTAAACCAGGTACGTCTGGACCGTGTGCTGTAAGACCACAGCTTGCGGGTGATTGTGCCGCCCTTGGAAATCATTAGACGAATAGTCGGAGTCGATCGTGGAATAGATATGTTCGGATAGCGGACGGTCGCACGGCGAACGTTCAGAATTCGCCGACTTGCCGCAGAGCGTCTGACACGTGCTATTCAACACGGACGCGTCCATTGTGTACGTATTGGAATTCCTGCCGTAATTAAGTCTCTTCAACTTGTGACCGCGCCGCTTGCACGACGGCATCGCATACCGTAACCTCTCCCAGAATCGTTTCTCTTTCCACGTTATCTCTAAACCTGTTTTCAAATACGACTTCAATTCCGGATCGCGCGACGCGAGCCCTACAGTGACAATTATCAATTTGTGTGGATTCTTACGGAGCGCGCGCTGCAGCGCTTGACGAAATTCTATTTGGGACCATTCTGTGGCGATGAAGTTCTTAGTTAAGACCACTATGATACGCCGCGAGGCCTCGGTCGCCTCCACTACTAAGTCGGGGAACTGGGCGTAAGTCGCCTCGAAGTGAGGTACGTCTCTGTAATGGAGGCACAGATGATACGACGGATAGCCGTTCTCGAGCTCTCGCGCTAATGACTCTATGACGAACTCTTCGTCTTTTGGACTGTAACAAATATACGCGTCGTAAAGCTTATCGGCGTCGTTAAACGCGCTCGCTAGGGGAAAGAGCTTAATGCCGCAATTTGAGTACAGCCACATTCTGCAAGCGTATCTAAACGTGAACACTAGAGCTAATATTAATAAAATAAGCATGAAACCAGTGAGAACCGAGGCGAGTAATGGTATGTTGTTGGAGACGAAGAACGCGCTTATCACCGAATTGTCACTTATTTCGCTACAAATTGTCACATTTAAATTCAAAGGCTTCTTCGCTAGACTCGCTTTTTCGTTCGTACACCACAAACTACGTATATCGACCACCTTTTCGACGTTCTGCGATATGTATGTGAGGAATCCTTGTAAATAGGGGGGGGGGGGGGGGGGGGGGGGGGGGGGGGGGGGGGGGGGGGGGGGGGGGGGGGGGGGGGGGGGGGGGGGGGGGGGGGGGGGGGGGGGGGGGGGGGGGGGGGGGGGGGGGGGGGGGGGGGGGGGGGGGGGGGGGGGGGGGGGGGGGGGGGGGGGGGGGGGGGGGGGGGGGGGGGGGGGGGGGGGGGGGGGGGGGGGGGGGGGGGGGGGGGGGGGGGGGGGGGGGGGGGGGGGGGGGGGGGGGGGGGGGGGGGGGGGGGGGGGGGGGGGGGGGGGGGGGGGGGGGGGGGGGGGGGGGGGGGGGGGGGGGGGGGGGGGGGGGGGGGGGGGGGGGGGGGGGGGGGGGGGGGGGGGGGGGGGGGGGGGGGGGGGGGGGGGGGGGGGGGGGGGGGGGGGGGGGGGGGGGGGCGGGGGGGGGGGGGGGGGGGGGGGGGGGGGGGGGGGGGGGGGGGGGGGGGGGGGGGGGGGGGGGGGGGGGGGGGGGGGGGGGGGGGGGGGGGGGGGGGGGGGGGGGGGGGGGGGGGGGGGGGGGGGGGGGGGGGGGGGGGGGGGGGGGGGGGGGGGGGGGGGGGGGGGGGGGGGGGGGGGGGGGGGGGGGGGGGGGGGGGGGGGGGGGGGGGGGGGGGGGGGGGGGGGGGGGGGGGGGGGGGGGGGGGGGGGGGGGGGGGGGGGGGGGGGGGGGGGGGGGGGGGGGGGGGGGGGGGGGGGGGGGGGGGGGGGGGGGGGGGGGGGGGGGGGGGGGGGGGGGGGGGGGGGGGGGGGGGGGGGGGGGGGGGGGGGGGGGGGGGGGGGGGGGGGGGGGGGGGGGGGGGGGGGGGGGGGGGGGGGGGGGGGGGGGGGGGGGGGGGGGGGGGGGGGGGGGGGGGGGGGGGGGGGGGGGGGGGGGGGGGGGGGGGGGGGGGGGGGGGGGGGGGGGGGGGGGGGGGGGGGGGGGGGGGGGGGGGGGGGGGGGGGGGGGGGGGGGGGGGGGGGGGGGGGGGGGGGGGGGGGGGGGGGGGGGGGGGGGGGGGGGGGGGGGGGGGGGGGGGGGGGGGGGGGGGGGGGGGGGGGGGGGGGGGGAGAGAGAAAAAAAAAAAGAAAGGGGGGGGGGGGGGGGGGGGGGGGGGGGGGGGGGGGGGGGGGGGGGCGGGGGGGGGGGGGGGGGGGGGGGGGGGGGGGGGGGGGGGGGGGGGGGGGGGGGGGGGGGGGGGGGGGGGGGGGGGGGGGGGGGGGGGGGGGGGGGGGGGGGGGGGGGGGGGGGGGGGGGGGGGGGGGGAAAAAGGGGGGGGGGGGGGGGGGGGGGGGGGGGGGGGGGGGGGGGGGGGGGGGGGGGGGGGGGGGGGGGGGGGGGGGGGGGGGGGGGGGGGGGGGGGGGGGGGGGGGGGGGGGGGGGGGGGGGGGGGGGGGGGGGGGGAAAAAAAAAGAGGGGAGGGCGGGCGGGCCCCGGGCGAGAAGAAAAATTTTTTTTTTTTTTTGGGGTTTTGGGGTTTTTGGGTTTTTTTTCCCCCCCCCCCCCCCGGGGGGGGGAAAAAAAAAAAAAGGGGGGGGGGGGGGGGGGTTAATTAAAAAGAGGGGGGGGGGGGGGGGGGGGGGGGGGGGGGGGGGGGGGGGGGGGGGGGGCGGGGGGAACAACCCCCCCCCCCGGGGGGGGGAAAAACCCCGGGGGGGGGGGGGGGGGGGGGGGGGGGGGGAAAAAAAAAAAACCCTTTGGGGGGTTTTTAAAAAAAGGGGGGGGGGGGGGGGGGGGAAAAAAAAGGGGGGGGGGGGGGGAAAAGGGGGGGGGAAAAAAAGGGAAGAATTTTGGGAAAAAGGGGAAAAAAAAAAAAAAAAAAAAAAAAGGGGGGTTTTTTATACCACCTCTCCCCTATTTACAATTACACGACCATAAGTTATTGCCGACGAACAGCGTTTGTAACTTTTTGTTATTGTCCAAATGCCAGAGGCCATAATTTACGAGTCTATTTCCGTCGAGCCGTAAAACTTCTAAAGAACCCAAATAAGTAAATGTTACATTCGAAATGAACTCAATGGCGTTGTTCTGTAGGTACAATTCTCTTAGGTTGTTTAATTTGGAAAACTCGAGACCTTGAAGGCGTTTTAATTTGTTATTGTCTAGATGCAGAATTTTGAGGTCACCTAGTTCACGAAATGTGTTGTTCCGAATGCTTGATATGTCGCTCGAGTTTAAATATAAGACCAGAGCTTGATGCATAAGCTCAAAGAGAGTCTCATTTAAGTCGCTAAAAGAATTTCCGTCTAAATAGATGTGAGTGGCAGTAGGAGGAAGATCGCGCGGTATAACATCTGACTTTTTCGCGGAACAATCGACCACATTAGTCGTCTTTGTCGAGTCATGATAGCACGAACAGTCTGGCGGACAAACAGATTTACAATTGCAAAATGTAAAATCACAACATGTACAATCCTCCGGACAGTGACTGTCATATTTGCAGAGAAAATCTTTTATATGCAGCGAGCTTACGGCTTGATTTTTGACGCCGCGCACATAAGACTCTTTACATATGACATTGTTTAAATCCATCACGTACGGGTATTGTCGGGAGGTAACGGAATTTATGAGTAAAAGCCATTTCATGGTACAGTCGCATCGAAAAGGATTAGCGCTAATATAGAATTGTGGCAACGTACGGTCGTCCGTCCGCGCGATACGTAGACTGTTCACGTCTAATGTTTCGATTTTATTGGCGTACATGTCCACGCGAGTCAGGTTAGTCTTCTCAATAAACGTGTCGGGGTCTATAGTGGTTATTTCATTGTTGTTTACAAACATTAGTTCAATGCTATTCGGTAAGGACATCGCCGATAAAGCCACTATACGATTGTGGCTCGCGTCCAACGTCTTGACGCGTAACTCGCTCTGTATTTTGTAGTAATTACCGAGTATTTCTATGAAATTCGCATGGACGTCCAGCCACTTGAGATTGGGCGGCACGAAGGCGTAATCGAACCACACTAAATGATTCTCTGACAAATTGAGCCAGAGCAACTTCGTTAAGGACACAAATACTCCATTTATATCAGAAATGTAGTTAGTATCGAGCCGCACGGCTTCCAATTGAGTATTTCTTTGAAACGTTTCTGTGCCGATCGACTGTATTTTATTTTTCGCCAAATTGAGCACTTGTAGGCTAGGCATTCCCCAGAACATGCCCGCTGTGAGATTTCCAATTTGATTTTCGATTAGACGCAAACCGGTTAACTGTGATAAATTTTGAAAGGAACTGTTCGTTATTTCCGTTAATAAATTTTCTCCCAAGTCTAACGACTTTAGGAACGGTAATTGTAATATTGCTTCCGGTACATTCGTTAACTTATTCGAACTTAAATCTAGTTCTTTTAAGTCTGAACAATTCCTGAATGCATTTTCACTTATGTAAGACAACAGATTATTACTTAAACTCAATTTATTCAGAATGAAAAGACCGTTAAACATGTGATCTTCGATCGTTCTCAATTTGTTGATGCCTAAATTTAACGTGTGTAAATTAAATAGAGGCGAAAACGCATTGTCGTCTATGTAACCAATAGAGTTATTTATCAAATTGAGATTCTGCAAAAAGAACAAGTCCTTAAACATATTCTGCGCTATACGGGCGATAGCATTGTGGGATAGGTCGAGCACAATTAATCTTATTAGGCCGCCAAACGTTTCATCTTCTATGTGGTCGCCCTTCAATTTATTCACTGAAAGATCTAAAACGAGCAACTGATCCAGTCTATTAAATATTCTTTTGGGCAATATTTCCAGTTCATTGTTCCTCAAATAAATTTCACGAATCTCCCTCGTGTTTTGAAATAAGCCTTCTGGCAAATAATTTATGGCGTTATCGGAGAGGTTCACGACTTTTAATGAGAGAAGGTCACTGAAAACTTCGGCGGGCAACTCACTCACTTTATTGTTCTGCAAGTACAGCTGTGTGAGCCGTCGGAGATGTAATATTTCGGAGTCAGCTGGCAAGGACATGATGTCGTTGTAGCTGAGATCAATAGTCTGCAGCGTCGAGCCACATTTGTGCCCGAAGCCCAGTTCGTCGACAAACTTTATCTTATTGCGAGTGAGATTCAGAGATATGATATTCTCCAGCGCGCAAAATAGGTCGGACGGGATCTTCCTAATATTATTAAATCCGAGATCCAAAGTGTGTAATTCCCTTAAACCATTAAAGGCGCCGAAGGACATCTCTAATTCCTTATTGTGACCCCATTCATTATTCATGGTGCGTAGCTGCAAGGCCTTCAGGCCGCGTATCCCCTCGAACACGTTCCCCGGGAGGCGCAAGATCTTGCAATTGGTCACCGCGATCTCCGCTAGGTCCTTCATCTTGGTGAATTGGTGATCTTTGAGCGTGCTCTCGACGTGGTCAGACCCGCAGTCGACCGCGAGCCTCTCCGCGCCGTCCGAGTGCATCGAACCGGCCAGTTCCCGTTCGGACGACAGCGTCCGTACATTGCACTTCACAGCGTTCTCACTGGCCACTCGAAAACAAGCATCTGCAGCGTCAGGCGCCCCGGTAGGCGCCGCGCCCATCACTAAACAAAAGAGTATCACGCTAATTATCATTTTAACTGCACTGTGTCCATTTCATTTTCTCTCGTCAACTCGTATCGATGAATGAAAGCTTAGTCCGATCGTCGCGCGCGATCATATTAGAGCGTGGTGCGTTTGTACGGGGTCACGGTGTTGACGAGTATGCGGTAAATAGAATGCGCGAGTCTCATTGTAAAGCTTTCCAGACGTAGTCCCCCTTCGGCAGCGGAACCGCGACTGCCGTGTAGTACAATGAAACGCCATGAATGCGCGGCCGGCAGCCGACTCGCTTTGCAAGAGAATAGATCGCACCATACCATTTCTATTAGCGCAAACACCATGCATTATTTTGATTCAAGAACGCTTTTAAATTTAAGTACATAAGTACTGGTCATCACCAGTATGAATAAAAACCCAATCTTGGTATGGACTGAAGCGCAAGCCCTTTTCTGTTAACATATTTTTGACGTTTCAGTTTTGACTGAAACCGTCTTTACTTAGCCTTATTTTTATTGGATATGATCTTGTTAGACTTCATTGGCATTATGAATGATAAACAAAACTAAAACTGTTTTTAAACATTTTCCAATATTGTTTTCTTAATAATATAATGATTTTAGAAACGTCTAAACAGCACCTTTCTTAAGAACAGCCAGGTATAGCTAACCAAAGAGAAATATTTTATTTTAATAGGATTAAATTTTTGAAATCTTTTGCACTTTTAAGTTGTTAGATTTTAGCGGCAAGACGAACTGTCAATTTCAAATGTTCATAGACAAAGTTTTACGGATTACATGCTCTATCGACAGCCCAAAAAAATAAACTAAGGAAAAAGTAATATAATATAAAATAATTAAGTGAGAGGATGAATTCCTTTCTTTAATTTATAGGCGAACGGCAAAAAAAATGGATGCCTCCTTAGGGGGAACATTAAAGTGGGGGAAGAGTAAAAGTACGTTACTCTGTGGGTCATTGGTTCGAGTGCCCCGTATCAAATGTGTGATAAGGGGTATGTATTTATTTCGAAATAATTCAAAAAATTTACATATTTAAGTCTTATTATATTCATCGTACTTTTTTCTAAACCTGCTTATAGGAGTGGAATATATGAAAATTAGACATATATGGGTTCTGCATGCTACAAATATTAGACAACTGTTACTAGAACAAGCCACAGAATATAAACGCAATGTGACATGTGTGACATCTGTTAAGGTAATGAAACAGCATAAAAATTTTCACTCTTTTATTAGTCACCTAATTAATCACTTATAATATAATATATACAATTATTACTATAATTGAGGGAAATCTGCTAAAAATTAAAAAAAAATGTCGCTTACAAAAATTGGCGGTAGATTGCTGGTAGAGCAGAAAATGTCAGTTATTTGCTAGATTGAGATAGGCGTTAGGCACTTAATGGAGGTTTTCTTGGATCTCCACAAAACTAATGGGCATGGGCAAGTCTAATTAAAGGATGAGGCGCTGAATATTCTGCCGTTTTCTGGGCCAAAGCAAGACAATTTCTCCAATAATAAACCTTTCTTTATTAAGAGAAAGAAAACACAAACTATACGATTGAACCCTACAGCAATATACAATTATTCATTGTTATCGGAATTCAGGCAGACGTCATTATGAAACTCCTGTCTATCATTGGCCTCCCAATTATATCACATTGTCTTAAAACAAAACATTACTCACTTCATACCTTATACATTAGATAACAGTTAAATTCATTATATGCGTAAATTTAGCTCGTCGAAAATAAATTCGTCAAGAGCTATTTTAATTTTTTGAATTTTGAACAAAGAAATTATCGAAATCGTCAAAAAAATGTCACAGTAATCTAATTAAAAACAATAAATTATGTAACTTAACTAATACTTAAATTATTAACTAAATGAAAAGAACAGAACAACTACACTATTATCTTTCAGATATTCAGTCTTACATTATTATGAATGTTCCATAATTTTTTGCTGTTTTAAGTGTTTTTGAATTGGCAACACCAAGTTGTTAAAATAGTATTTTTCAATAATTTTTAGATTCTGAGTAAATATACAGCTTAAAGTTATTACGTCTCACGTTGGTGAGATTCTTTTCACTGGTATCCCCAAGTAGCGTGTCCATTTACACTATAATCTAGAATAATATTCAAAGCCGAAATTTTTATATAATCTAGATGTCAATCAAAATGTTTAGTCCGAACACTGCGACAACTCTCCCCACAATATCATTACAAAATAAATGTTGCCTACTTTACATACTAGAAGTATTTGACAAAATATTTCACTTATAGTTAATTGTTAAAAGTCACCTATTACAAATGTTTTTTAAAACACCAAAAGCAGAGAAATGAATTATTGCATTTTGTAATGGCACATTCTAAAAGGCCACACTTTGTAAATTATTGCTTAGACAACAATTTAGCAGGTTTGGGGAAAAATAGTCGACTAATAACTGAAATGTCAAATGAGTCCAATATAGTATCTGTCATATAAGTTCATGAGAACAGTACTGAATAATAATAAATAAATTTGTACATGACTTGGTGATAATTAATTGGCATATAATTTTAATTTCTATATCAACGTCAATGTTAAACAATAAAAATCAATGTTGTGCAAATGAAATATTCTCATTACCATCAGTAATACTAGAAAGTATAGTCATATAGTTCTATGATTGACTTGGTACTTCTATAAGTTCAAAAGGTGCCATCAAAGTATTTTATCGGCTTGGGAAAAGGAATTTTGGCATAGAATTTTACAATATGTAGACAACAACAGTATTATAAATAATCACTGAATCTTATGAAACTGACTTATTCAGATGGCTTGATTTATAAATATAACTATTAATAGTAATAATGTACTACTATAGCCACAAGTGTCTTGCCATGAAAAGGACATTTAGTTATTAATCAGACAGCCAGCTGTAAGAATTCCTTGGAAAAACAAATTTGTGACATAAGTCACTATCTTCACTGATAGTTTTCCTGCGGTCACCACAAGTCACTAAGTATAATTCACTGTCACTCAACACCATCGTCGCTTCTTGGACGTCCCTTCACTTTGGTCGCAGTGTGCCTTGGCCTATTTGTCTATGGCACTGAGGTGGTCGGGGCGGTCTCCACGGGCGTACTTGGACCACATTTTGCTGTAGAGCATTTCGAGGCCTGTTGCGTAAGCTTTGCAGTCAAATAGAGGACTTTCCGTTCTCGCCGTCCACACTTTCGCCCGGATTGCTTTTAGGCTGTAATAAAATAAATAGTAAGTACTAAGGCGTATAACTACATTTTAGAATTTTGGTTTTGTTTTGTAAATTCTTTAAACACATAACAATACTCTGCCTATTACATGTACAACCAATACTAATTTATGTTGCATAATGTATATGACATTATATTTTTAACCACAAAAATAAATACAAACATGTATAGATCGCATTTATGTTTGTGTCTCAGTAGATCTGCTAAACTCTCAAAACTATACAAATTTGATCAATTGTCTTGTTAACAATAAAATGTGAACAAAACATATAAATGATTAAAAAAAGACGATAAATTTTCACTAATTTGGCACACTACAGCCAGAGTAAACATTGCGGAGGTGACTTCCCTTATCGGAAAGTGAAAAACCCGAGATAAGCGCTGATAAGTTGAATGTACTCACTACTCCCTGTCGGTGCCAAGTCTCACGGCGATGTCTTGGTATTCCTGACGAGTCCTAGCAATTAATTCGGGACAACCGAGCGTGTTTAATTGCGACGCCGCCACACTGCAAACAACATTATTCATTAGACGTCTAATGAACGTTTCTTGTTTGTCGCTTCGAGACTTCGTTTTGTCTTAGATGTATTAGAATTGTGGAAAAATACGAAACTAATTAGTCGTATTTTCATTTGTAAATGTTATGGTGCAATTTTAGAATCATTGCTAGATTATTTCCAGCATTATTTTAATGGTTGACTTTTTTTACCAAAATTTAAAAAAAAAGCTGGAAGACTTAGTGTTATACTATTATACAATGAATGATCACGATGTTGCAAAATCAACTGTTTCAAAAATAATCATATCTAAACGTGTTAATGTGAAATTCAAATTTTCGTATTTATTCTCCTCTGTACTTTAATTTTCACTATTTTTTTCAGAAGACATTTAACTTCAATACATAAGAGTTAAGGTTTATATTACATTGAGCGAGAACTATGACTAGGGTGAAAAAAATTCGACAATGACGTGTAGGACATGGTAGATCAATTGGTTAGAATATCAAGCCCGGAACGCTGTCGCTGCCCACTCAATCCCGGTCCGTGTCGTTAATTTTTTTCCAATCTTAATAGATTTTTAATTTATCATGTGCAAAGTAGAATATCAATTAAGTCAATTACCATGGTAAAAGGTACTGAATAGTGAAACTTACCGGGAAGCCAACGTCTCTCCGGGCAGAGTAACCACGGGCGTGCCAGTCCATAAGATATCCATGCTAGTCGTGTGTCCGTTACATAGGGGTGTGTCTAAGCAGACGTCCGCCAACTGTCCACGTCTTACATGCTCCTCCTTAGCAGCTACATTTGAAAAAATAATGCGACCTGGTGGTAACCCTGAAACAAAATACAATATTACTTAGTAAAAACGTCTCTCTGTAGTTTACGCGAGTAGTACACATTTAAATAAAACACTTTAACGGTTTACAACGCGATATATATTAGTTACTTATTAGAAAATTATTTTAACTACGGCCCGACGTTTCGGTTGCTTTGCCGTCGACACGGGGAGACTCCTCGCCGAAGTTATATTTAAATAATAAGTTTAACATATTATACATATAGCGTTTTAAACCGTTAAAATGTTTTATTTAAATTATGTAAACACAATCAATCATAAATGGAAGCACTGGTGTTTATCTTATCAAACAATTCTATCGCAAGATTTTATTTCCATTACCATTTAGTGTTGACATCATTGACTGTGACTACAAATGTACCTATTTAATACCAGACATGTTTTCACGTTGATAAGTCTTACGCAAATCATAACAATTATGATGTAATATTTTTCTACAAGCTTCAAAATTTTACGATTAGAATTTCTGTACTTCGAAATAAAGCCTTTTGCTTAACACTAAAATTTTATTAAATCTCTTACAAAAAACATGCACATACATTGTTTATTTTTACAAACTTGTCATTTAAGACAGTAGTTGATAGAGATGTTTTGCAATTTAATATACGTTCAGCGCTTGAAATATTATAATTCAAATAAATAAATTATTAGCTTTAGTAGTTCATCTGTTGTAAACCGGTGTATTTAGTTTACACGAAATATATAAGTTACCTTATTCTTAATTTATAATAACTACGCCCCGACGAAATTACTAAAATACTTTGCGTTTTAAACCGTTAAAAGTGCTTTATTAAAAACAACTAATAAAAGCGATGGGAAAAGTTTACCCGTTGCACATTTTAATAAAATCGATAAAGTACGTATTTTGCTATATTATAGTATGAAACCTCACCTAATTGCTGAGCAGTCGACTGTAGATTTGGTTCACCGACAGCCGGGAACCTCAACAGCCAGAGAACACTATTCGGCACATGTTTCAAGATGTACACCCACATGTGAAGTGTGAGGGGATCTATCTTGTATAGCTGGTTGAAGTTGCAGTAGACCACCGCGTCGTCTGGCAATCCGTACTGCTGTCTGGTGGTTATCACAATGGACTGTGGAACCTCCTCGCCGGTTGCTGCCTTGTTGTTCGTTTGGGTGGTCGCTAATCCGTTTTGGAGAATGACTCCGTTTACGGACGTCTGAAAGAAATTATCACCTACATTAAAACAGCATTTTGATGTACATAAAAAATAGTAACTCATTGCTATGCTAATATTATAAAGTTGAAGAGTATGTTTGTTGGTACGCGTTAATCTCAGAAGCTGGTTCGATTTTTTTTGTTGGTTACATTATTAGTTCATTAAATAAGGCAATATCTGAAGGGATAATTAAAACTCACCTGAACCTGTCCGGACGCTATCATCGTTTCAATTGGTGTCGTAGTGGGCAATTCTGCCACTTTTAATGAAATTTCCACAGGTCTCGCCGCCCTCACCACCTCCTTGATCTCTTTGATGTCAGTATGCTCCACCAGGGGTGACAAATCTGTCGCGTTAATGACCGCCACGTTATCAGCTACACCACCAAGGCTGTTATGCGACTTCACTTTATCGCTGAGAATTAAGCGCTCCTGCAAATGAGGGAACATCTGCTTGTGATCACCCACAAAGTAGGTGTGAGGCATGTACGCCAACTTCTCGCTGTACTGGCTCGCCAGTTCCACGGGTGAGGTCACGGCGTCAGTGACCAGATAGTCCATGTAACTCGCTCCACTCGTGCCGGGGTATCCCAGCCACATCACTTGTACGGGAGCCGGCCTCAAAGCGAATATCTCATTCCTAGCGCCCTTTGTATAACCGTTCATGTTTACTAGTATATGAATGCCATCTCCGTAAATCTTGTCTGCGGCTTTTCCGTTACACGGCAGTTGAGAGAGATCAATGAAATGCTCCGCCTCCCGGGCGATTTTGGAGCGGAAAGTGGTTCCGTCATCGGAACTCAGGGCGTAACAGAAGATCTCAACTTTGCCCCGATCGTGAAGCCCCGGGACGGATTGCATGAGATGAGACGTTGGGTGATTGCCAAAGTCACTGCTGACGTATCCGATACGCAGACGACCTTGCAATTCGCGGGGGAATTTGTAGAGCGGCTTGTGTAGTACTTGAACCTTTTCCAGACATAGATTCGCGTGGCGGGCGGCTATCGCCTTTCTATATTCGTGCGTCAGCGGGTACAGCATGGAGTGGTGTGGGTGAACGGACGGCAGCCTATTCTTGTCCAGCTGTTCGGCGACAATGCTCACCAACTTTTTCATTCGCGCCTCGTAATCGGTCCAATCACAGACAATTTGTAGGCAATGCGCTAGGTTACAATACGCGTCTGGGAAGTCCGGCTTCAATTTCAACGCCGTCCGGTACGACTGGATAGCCTCGGGGATATTCCCGGAGTCCTTGTGTATACTTGCCAGGTTACTGTGAGCGTCGGCGAATGCGGGGTTAATTTGAATCGCCCTAGTGTAACATTGCAACGCGCCGGCGACATCCTGCATCTCTTTCAGGGTGTTACCCATGTTGCTGTAAGCATCGGCGAATGTCGGCTGAATGCGAATAGCCTCCTTGTAATGCATAAGCGCTTCGTTTAGTTTTCCTTGCTGTTGTAAAACGGAAGCTAGGTTGCTGTGTGCGGCTGCGAATTCTGGGAATACTTCCAAAGCCTTCAGGTATAGGCGAGTCGCCTCCTCTATGTATCCTTGTTCGCGTTTGATATTAGCTAAGTTATTGAGTGAATCGGCGTGTGAAGGGCACAGCCGGAGCGCTGTGTTGTAGCACTCTTCCGCATCGGCCACTTGGCCTTTTTCTTTGAGCGCATTCGCTAAATTACAATATGCATCGGGGAAATTGGGCTGCAGTTCGATCGCTCTTCGGTACGTGTCAATGGCCAAATCGATAAGCCCCTGCTCGTAATACACGCACGCCAAGTTTCCGTGCACAACAGCATTGTTGGGAGATAGGTTAAGTGCCCGTAAGTATGCAGCTACTGCCCTGTTCAACGAAAAATATGTCTTAAATAGCAGAAGGGTTGAAAAGTAATAAGTTCGGGCGAATTGAGATGTAATTTACCTGTCAAAAATTCTAGCCTCTTTTAAGACGTTTCCGAGGTTTATGTAAGCGTCCAAGAAATTGGGGTCCAATGCCACTGCCTTCTCGAAATGGTGAATAGCCAGCCATATTTCGCTTTGGGCGTTAAAAACGCATCCGAGATTACTCCAGGCTACGGCAAAATCTGGCCTCGTCTCTATGGCTTTCAAGTAACATGCCTAAACACACAAAAGCAGAAATTAAAGAGCGTTCGACGACAGATTGCACAGTGATGAGTTATCGAGGTGTGAGTTACGCCAAAACATATGATTACACCAGAGCGGCGGTTGATGACTGGGTGACCCAATTAAAGCGATGATCACCGAATATCAACCGCGTGAAAAGTTGGTATACGCAAATTGCGCCCTACGGTATCGAAGCTACGCTGATTGCGAGGACACATCAGTAGGAAATGCAAACGACCCAGATCTACCACGTTAAACACACTAGCGAACTGAGAGAAAAAGATAGAGATGAAGACGCTTCCACTTCCCAACCGATGGGGGATGGTCACGACAATGAAACAATCAAAGAGCGCGCGTTGTGTCCGAAACCTGCCTTTACAGTTCTTGCAAACCTTGTACACTTTACCTGTGTTACACAGAATGTGGTCATCGGAGCGCGTATGCGAGGGGAGTACCAACCGTAACCCAGCTAGATACAGCGGCAGTCACACCTACTGTCTTACCAGACAACACCTTGTGAAAATATAACAGAATTAGTCGATTTTGAGTCAAACTAGTTCAGCCGATTCACGTCTATAGATAATATCATTTACACATATGCCTTATGATTTCAGAGGATCGTTTGCCAACTCACGCTTGTCTTTGAGCGGAGTCTTCGGGCGTGATGTGTATGACCGAATAATATTGCGGAAATAAACATAAACTACGTCATACCACTAGTGAAATAAACGCTACTGATCCTCTTTCGTATTTCGTAAGAAATCACTACAAGCAAGGATTAAAGAACTATCTATAGCCGGCGTGAAGCGAACAGGACTTTTATCGTGAACTGCATCTACATTTACTGCTAACATTAAAATACTCTCCGTTGTCCTGTGATCTTTCACACGGTGTTCGTTTAGTTTTCATGGGAGCGAATTTGAAGTGTGAGATTGGCGAGTGTTAAATATAAATAACGAGAACGCGGTGTGAAAAATCGGTGATCTTTACGCAGTTGCCGTCACATAATATCGACGAGTGTTCTCGTCTGAATATTATTGTAACAGAATTGAGAATTGAAAAGCGCGGGAAGGCGCCCAGCGATCGTAGAAAAAAAAATCTTCCCACTCTTTTCCGCTGCCACAGTAATGGTTTAAACATTAGTTCGAGAGGGTCGTGCGTCTCTCTTTAAAAATCAATATACCCCGGAACAGCCGTTGAAACCATTACGTAAGCTACGCTCGTGCGGGGAGGACCGTAATCGGTTTTACGCAATTGCAATTGTTCGCTGATGGAACAGAGAGTACTCTAATTTAAAACGACACAAAGGCAAGAGACAAGAGAATCCTGTTAACTTCAGAGTAAACCAGAAAGCGGGGCGAAATTCTATTTACCTTTGCCTCGTCGAGACGTCCGAGGGCCTTGAGCAAATTGCCCAAGTCGCTTCTGACGCAGTAGAGTTCCTGTAACAACATTGCTCAGTTCAATCTTAACTATCGTTTACTGCTTCTTTGTTACGAATAAAAGAAACACTCGTTCCATACAAATTATTGTCTTTGTTTGCTGTAAAATTTATATATTTATTATGGTACATCAACAGATCACTTATATGTAATTCATTATACTTAACATCACAATAAGTTAAATTACTTATGTAGGACCCAATTACTGATGCATACAGCACTGTTAACTTAAAAATTAGTGTTTCAAAATATTTAGAGTACAGAATTCGAACCTAATTATAATAAAGTGTCTATAGTCGCAATACTTTTTTTTTGAAATCGTGTAAAAGAATCAAAGTAAGGATCAGCGTCGGTTTCTCGCGTAACATTATTAAGGGTCTCACATAGACGGTACAATGGACGGTTTCTACCTACGTTAGTTTTTGGTGTATGAAGATAAAATAACATACTTTTTTTATGATCGAGGAAAGTTAAGCAAAGGTTTACTTGATGGTAGGTAAAATACGCCAGCCATGTAACGTCTAATGAAGGTGCGCTGTCGACCTATTTTAACTTTAGATATAACTTGGAAGACGGCTTTTTTATATATTGACGTTGGTTCGAGGACGGAATTTCGATAGTCTTCTTCCAATTTAGTACCAAAGTGTTTCATAAAAATAATACATTGATGAGAGAAATGTTAGACCCGGTGGGGATCGAATCCGCGACCCGTTGATTATTAGCCGTACATTGCTACCATTACACCAGAGTCCGTTAGATATCTATGTAACCTTACTACAAATTTTACGTTTCATACCAGAAACTTTCGCATTCACAACATAAGTAGGAAATTGGTAGTCTGTTTCTTTCCGTATTAGGTATAACGACATATTATATAGATGGGCGTTTGCTTAACTAAGATAGTTGTTATGAAGCGGTGAAGGTCGTACGAACGTGGCATTAATTTCCGTGTTCTTTAATCACTAACGGCTGGGCGAGGTGCCATGTTATAGCTTGGCGCATGCGAAACGCTAATAAGCAGAATATGGTTGCATGATAATATGAATGGGTGCAATGAAGCAGTTTAGGGTAAAGTATAATTGTAGATGTTTAAACCAATTGAAAGTATGATTTTTTTTTCACATGTAAGTATTATATTAAATTAAAAATCTATTTACAAATTTCATGATAACGTTATCAATTTATTGAGCCACAGTGTCTCATTGATTTGCTCGTCAATTTTATTTATATTCAAGTAGTTGATAATTTTTTGCTATTTTTCACATTTCATTGTAAGTACTTATTTTTGGACGAAACTTGAACCAGCTCCATAACTCCATAGCGCTCCGTGCTGGTTGCTCTAATCAAATTAAGTTACTGTCCCTATCTTACCAATTGAATTATTGTAGTAGGACACGGTAGCTCAATTGTTTAGAGCAGCAGCACAAAACGCTGACGATGCCAGTTAAAGTCGCGACTATGTCGTAAATCTTTATCTTTATTAATCTAAATATATTTTATAATTATTATGGTTCCCGAGATTCGATCCAAGAAATTCTCGTTCTCGTTTGCAAGGCGACACGTTTAACCATTAAGCCACAGAGGCAATGTAAAAGACAAATGTAATAGTGCTAATAGTTCGTGTTTTCTCTTGGATAAAAGAGTAATAGCCATTTTCATTTTATTATGATGAAATCCATCAAGAATCTGATTACATGGTTTTTCGTATGCCCCGGTCCACAAAGAAAAGCAATAAAATGTAATGTCTTTGTCGAAAATACTGTGACTGCAATAAAATGGGAAACGGTAGTAAAATGTAGACTGGAGGGTATGATATCGCCGTTATATTCTATTCTATGCTCTACATCCGACCACAATGAACATGTGAAAATGCATAAAAATCTGATGCCTTTTCTTTCTTCTTAATTAAATTTATGTAGTATATTAAGGTTTATATTTTCAAAACACTTAGAATATTTGTATGAATGTAAGTTTTATTGTGTCGGGTCTCGTGTATACCCAACTCTCCCGGATTGCCCCGGAGCCACAATCAAAACTTCAAATATTATAAATCTTCTATTTCTTTCAACAACCGCATTATAAAATACACGGGGCTGGTCTTCTTGTGAGTTAGGAAATCTATGTGTAAATACATTTGTATTGTACATATGTGGATTCCTAAAAAACTAAACAGAGAAAAAAAGCAAAACAAGAAAAGAGAATAATTCTGGATAATGAAGTGTTTAGGTTAATAATTACTCAATAAAGGTCGTCTGAATTTCTTTAAAACCGTTATTGAATTTTCCTTTTCTTTAACGGTTTTATTTTCCACGTGTTTCGTAATCAAAACCTGACCTTTTAACGTCTAAATTTAAATAAGAACTTGGCACAAATATTTATGTTTACCAAGGGACATAATTCAATGACATTGTAAAACAATTTCACAATATAAAAATGGATACAGCAAATGTTCACAATATTACAATTTTAATTACAGTCTGTAATTGGTAATGATGTACCACTAATCAATGACAATTTCCATATTAACATATAATTTGTAGAATGTATTAATTACTAGCCTATTGTTCACTACTTTTTCATGCCTATTGAAATATTTTCGTTTTAATAACAACATTGCAAGACCTGCCATAAGTCATTTTTAATATTCTTGATTAAACAGAACTGGAATCATATTACTAAAAAAACACGTGGTAGTAATATTTTGTTCTACATTTTGGACATGTAATAATGTACAAAAGACAATTCATTTTTTAATTATTTAGTGCCCAAGTTTATTTGTGACCTTTTTTAGTATCAGCATTAATTTTTTTTAGTTTATTTTTCTGTTTATGAAAAAAATAATAATAACAACAGAACACGTCTCGCATTCTAGTGTGACGTGAACAAACGAGACACGGTAGCTCAATCGCTAAAAACAAAATTACTGTGGATGCCGGCTCAAGTCCCGCCCGTGGAGATTCCCATCCCTAAGAGCTACCTAAGTCTTCCAAAATCTCCCTAGCAACTCGCCGCCATTGTCAATGTAGTGAAATAAATGCGAAACATTTCCACTGACCGCACATAATCGCTCGATTTAAACAACTACAAGGTGACATCGTTTTCTGCCCTCGATGTACCGACGTCTATCATAATATAAACCATGTGCCGTGGATAGCCTTGAGCGAACACATTGCGGTGGAAAATAATCTTGAGACAATGGAAATAATAGCAGTACAATTACATCTACACATAACATGCTCGATATATGACGAAACAATACATTTTTCATTTAAATGTTTTGCAATCCATGTTACGTCCTCAATATATATATATGATATTTTGTAGGTTTCAATCAACTCAGGCAGCCAATGTCAAAATTATTTTGTTTAGATAGTGTTAAGAGTAGAATATAGGGAAAAAACCAAAATTTTACGATAAAACGTTTGTACACATTTTAATAAAACCCTCAAACCATAAAAACCTGGATGTGGTTTTGTGGTTTCAGATTATTTCAGTTATTTCCACAATTATGTTTGATATGGGAAATGCTATATATATTAGCATTCAGAATTTTTAGATAATCAAATGCATGCCACAGATAAAACATGAGACAGAGCTTATCTAGTAATCTAATTAAAAGACACATTTAATTGAAGCATGACTAATTTACCTCGATACGAGATAAAAGCTGATGCCTCATTTTATACACCAAAAACTTAATACTTAAAGAAAAGTTGCATTTTGCAGTTGTTATGTCCTCGTGAATAAGTATCAAGTCCTTACTTAATGATAGTCCACACATCACATATGTATATAAAGCTATATTTTTAAGGTGTCTGATCTTTAATATCGGAATATTTGTCATAAAAAAATCAATTTAAAATATCAAAGTTATTGTCAAGTAACTTTTCAACAATTTGGAAGGTGCAAAGACCTATTGAATTCATTAACACCTATTAACACGTTCAACCACACAATGACGATGGAATAATAATTGTATAATGCTTTAAGTTTTGTAAAAACCAAAACTGACAACAATTGTTCAGTCATTAAATTAGCCTTACCTTGTACTATAATACCATGTAGAGAAATTTCAACATTTCATTAAAATGTTTACAAATATAAGCAAGATACTGAATGAAAGAACAAAGGTTTTTATTTGGTAATCTTTTTTCATGCTTATAGAAGTAGATGTATGATTATATTATAACCTTGGCCGAGGCCATGGCTAAGAACATAATGTTATTAACTTTGAACTGATAGCTAATGGTTACGAGTCAATTATATATTATTAAGAGCTAAGGAAAGTGTGAAAATCCATTTCCCTAACATGATTCATAGACAAGTACGTAGGTGATTAGCGCTTTGGATCCTGTCTGAACAAAAGTTTTTTTTTAATAAACGACATGAATAAGCAATACTTTTAACCATTGAACCATTGCTATAGGTATTTTACGCTATGAATTTTAAATACAAAACTTACTGGATTGTACTGCAAGGCTGTAACATATGCTTGCACTGCCTGCTCCATGTCACCAGCGGCTACCAAGGCAGCAGCCAAATTTATGTACCCATCAATAAAGTCAGGCTTTAGGCGCACAGCGTGGCGGTAGTTCTCCAGAGCATCTTGAAGTTGACCCCTCTCTTTGTATACATTGCCGAGGTTGCTAGAGATAAATAGCATTAATGAATACAAATAGTACTAGAAGCAAGTTTATATTAAATTCTTAAATTCAATTCTGTCAACCATTTGATGGAATCCTGTGTCTGATTATAATTATAATGCTCACCAATCAATCAAGTTTTAAATAATATAGTTAATGCCTTCTTAGGCATGTGTTAAGAGTTCAAGGAAGTATAATCAACAATAAAATGTAGAGATTATCATTTATAAAATAAATCCGTGATAAAACTGTTGACTTCTTTGTTGAATATGTAATAAATTTCAAGGTCAAAGTAAAGTATAATAGTAATTTTGACATCGAATATATATTTACATTATTTTTTATATTCGAAAATTAACTTAAAGTCCTGATCAATAGTTCTTACTAGTATCAGATTGTCTTGGATTATTAAAGATACAAAGAAAAAAAAAACTTAGTTTTATACTGCAATAGGCCAACTCCCAGATATTAAGTCAGGCATAAAGTAGATTGCACACAAATTATATAAATTGAATTTGGTATATTATATTCCCTTTCTAATAATCACAATTAATTTGAGCAGCTAGCTAACCTGTAAGCCTCTGCCAATAAAGGGTTCTGCTTGATTGCGAGCGTGGAAAAATGTGCTGATTTATCCAGCCTTCTACACTGGAAGTGAATGGACGAGAGGAGTAACAGAACCCCAGTGTTAGTAGCATCCTGACGCCACAATTGCATACAATGCAATTCAGCACTATCATAATCGCCAGCCTGGTATTCTCGGTGGGCAAGCTCCAGCAGCCCTAAGAAAGAGACGCGCATAAAAATACGACTTATATACAACACACTGGATGCTAGTGTTTTTTTTTAACAATGTTCATACGAAGAAATGTCCTCTGGTTTATAATAATTAATTAAAAGGAACTAACCGACTGTCGATATCTGTTGTATATCCGACATTTTCAAGATCACGGCATTTGCAGGCACACCGACAATTTGTTGAGCCTGCGTCGTGACGGCTTGAGGCACGGCGACGTTCGCTTGCGGTTGCATTTTCGTTATCATTCTTCAAATATAAACTATTAGTTTGTCACATTCATTCACTACACTTCACGGACCCGGATTAATCACAAATATATTCCACAATTGATTGCATTTCGATGAAAATTGAGACAATTATGGACGAAAAGTGCTGCGTGCACCAACAATTATTATTGGCAAATGGCAATCGTGATTCATAGATTATATTTTGTACTGATGACAATTAATACCATAAAGTTAGCACACGCCATAATCTAGTCTATGGTACTCTTAAAAGTCAAAACAAGACAGTTTTTTTGTTTATTTACTTTTTGTTTATGTACCTTTAATAATTAATTGAGGCTCGTGGACCGTGGTTCTTGTTTAAGTTTTACCATAAGTATGAACTGTTATAAAACTAATTTACAATATCACAGTCCTTGCGACTCTGATAACGATTGGACAGAATCCTCCGATTCGAAATGTACGGATTCCGAAAGGTAAAGATTGTTCATGTTTTGAAACCTATAAATAATATATACATAGTTTCACGTTATTATTTATCACAGCTCGGTTCCAGAATGGGACTCAGATGTCGAAGAAGATGGAGAACTAACGTTTATTAAAGTTAAGGCAAATAATGTAGCTTCACAAGACGCGCATACCGCCTTACTGGAAAATTGTGAATCATTTAAATTAAGAACCGATTTCAAAAGATCTTCAACTAGGCGATCCACAAAAGGTAAAGAACAATAACAATTTATTATATCAGCAAAATAAAACTTCATTTCTTATTTACTCTTAACTATTTACACAGGTAGAATTTTTAAGGCGCTAAAATCGAGAAAAGAGAGAAATAAAAGTAATATAGTGAAGAAAAAAGAATATGAAGAAAATAACAAAACTGTTATTGTTCAAGTGAGTTATATAAAGTTGATTTTCAGTGTATGTAAATTATTAGTTAAACTACATTGATATTCCAATGACAATGTATCTATGTGCCATACATTTTCTAAACATATGTTTTATATTTTTCTTTTACAGGTTAGTAAGAGTATGATATTTACCAGCGATAATAACTGTCAAATAGAAAAATTATTTGGTATCAGCTTAGACACACATACTGATGGTAGAACATTGATTGTAGCTGACTTTCTACCTGAAGCCAAACCTATCTATACACCAAGGGTAAAAATAGGATACCACCTGCAAAAAATCAATGGAATAGAAGTTTATTCATACAACATTAACAACATTCTGCAACGGATTAGTGAAGATGTTGATAGTCAAGTCAAGTTAATGTTTCAAGATGTATCAGAACAGTTAAATGTTGATATAGAGAAATTACTGTTAAAAACTTCCCCAGATAATTTAGTAACACAACTGCTTAAGGATTCTATGTGTTCCACCCTCTATATTTGCTGTAATGACATGGAATACCAGAGTAACGATGATAAAGGAGTTTTATACTGTTATCCGAGACCATTTAATCAAAATTTCCTATACAACACAAGAGGAGCATATGTCACATTAAACCATTTAGCACCCGAATCGTTGAGAACAAGTAAACCGCTTGTATCAAGTCTTGTACATAATTCTGCCCTCATTAATGTTGCTTATGCCACGCAGAACAATGATTTATTTCTATTTGCCGTCCCCAATTCAAGAGTTGATGTACTGTCTCTGCAAATTATCATCACAGATATTGTACAGATGATAGAATTTCTCTATGGTTCATTAAAAGCATGTTTTACAAAGGCAACTAATGTTGATAAGCTGGATGGATTGTTTAGTCGTGTTTTTGTGAGTTTGTTGTTCGGGAAACAGAAACCAGATAGGGTAGACTTTCAAGATGTGGTTGGTGTGCATGCGGTCTGCTTGCCTCTGGAAGTGAGGATACAAGTGGATGATGCTATAACAGAATTGGAGGCTGCTGATTATAGAGAGTGGGTGAGATGTTAACAAAATTTCTCTTAACCATGAAATGAATAATCCCTTCTGTGTTCTTATTTAGTTTACACTGTATAATTAAATGGTGAAATATAAAAAAAATTGTTTTCGCTTGTTACATACATACGCAATAAAGTTTTCTGTCTGTGGAGTAACTATTTTCTTGGTGTTTACCACATTTTGGACTGTTTTATCTTACCTATGGGTTGCACTGTTTTATTATATAGCTTAAAGCCTTCCTCGATAAACCTATCCAACACAAAATTAATTTTTAAATCAAACTAGTAGTTTAGTAGTTCTTCAGATGAGCGCCTTCAAACAAACAAACTCTTCAGCTTTATAATATAAGTATAGATTAATAATTTTAGAACTAATGAACTGCCTTTTATTTTCAGACTGATGAAGTGGAAAATTTTCAAAGAATGTACACAGTTATTGGTGCCTGCTTGTACTACTCTGGACATCTTCTAAGCTCACATTTGCAAGACAGTGATTTAAAAGAAATGCATGCATATCTCAAACTAAATGGTATACTTCAATTCAGTGTTCAAAAGGATATTGAGAAGTTAGTTATGTGGCGAGAAGTGTTTACGAACGAATATAGAAATAGAAATAAGTGCGAACATGACTATAGGTGTGTATCAGTTTTTTATACTTACTTAGATTACGCCGATTAAGTTGTCATTTTATTGTCTTTACCCTTGAACCTCATAGCTTTTTAATATTTCATTACTCATATATTTTATCACATAATCTTATTATCTGCGCCATCTTTACTTTTTTTCAAATTCCGTACTATAGTATCCTTATGTCTCACCTACATTACCTACATACAGAGGCGTAGCTATCGTAGTGCCAGGTGGTGCAGTGCACCAGGACCCCGGAACTTAGGGGCCCCTGGTGCACTGCTGGTATTTTTAACGTTGCTATTTATAATTTTGGAGGTTCATTTAAATCAAGCTATGCTAAAAGAGGGTATGAGGTCCCGATTCTTTCTTGAGCCTTAGGATTAGCTACGCTACTGCCTACATATAGTTTGTACTACATACTTTACCTACACATATAGTATGGAGTGAGGGGATGGATAATTGGACAATTATTTTTATTTTATATATCACTAGAGTGCTAAGAGTGCTAGGTACTCAAAAGCCTTTTGAAGTAAGATGCTTCTACAAACATTGTTAACTCATAAATAAAAAATATTCTTTTAATAACTCAATTTTTTTTGAGCAGAGAGCAGAGATTTGTAGTTTTATTTTTGTTTTTATCTACAATTTTCAATTATACTTTTTGTTAAATTATTCTTACCACTTCGAATTACAGGATACCTGATGGGCGGTGGTTTATTCTGGTTGTTGGAAGGGGACATTTTATATTAGCGACTCTGATGGAGGCTGGGGGTTGTACGGAAGATGTAAGTTATGTGCTGAAAATAATTATTGGAGCTTGGGGTAGTAGTAACTCTTTGTTATATGGAATTGCTACTATACCAAACTATTAGAAAAATCACTTTGGCATAGTTTCTTGTCAGTACTACAACTCCTAAGTAATTCAGTATGGACTACATAACTACGCCAGTCTTGTGTATTGTTTTTTCACAAACAATCATTATAAAAGTGCAATTTAGACGGGTAAAAAACGGTTAAAAAGAGGGTTAATTCTTTCATAACTATTCTTCGGGTAGCTTGAACCATTTTCGCAGCGTACGCAATGGAAACCCTTAAATATAAATTTTCTGCGTTTTTTTTTCACATTCCCCGCTGCTTCTTCACTCCTATTAGTAACAACGCGATGTGTTGTGTATGCCTATAAGCCTTCCTCGATATTTTTCAATTCGGACCAGTAATTCCTGTGATTAGCCCGTTCAAACATACAAACTCGTCAGCTTTATATATTAGTATAGATAATTATGTTTCATGTTTATTACAGGCCGTAGGCATAACTCCACCATCACCGTTCTACGTAGAAGAGTGCGAGAGTTGTGTCGAACTTCTGTTTGACGTGGGCTTAGATAGATATTTGGCTTCTTGGCTTAAATCCAACTCTCAACCACAGCTCCAGTTATCTCCAGAAATATTGACTAAGCAGGGACGGAAGAAGGAAAATATCTGTGAGGAAACTGAATTTAAACTTATTTTATAGATAATTATTATAACTGCTATAGTTTCATTATATACATGTTTCAATATTAATATAGTTATACAAAACATTCTAGGAACCTATTAAAAACCAATGCGTTATTTAAACGATATACTTAATAACTGCGCTTGCGCAATGACACAATATGATTCAAATAAAATACTAACTTGTAAACTATCTTGCTTCATCAGCGCTAAAATCGGACATAATAAGATCGGCAACATTGAAACTGTCAAAATCACAACTCGATATCAAACGAAGACACAATTCATCCGAACAAATCAACACTGGCTTCGAGAATACAATGCAAATGGCACACAGTACAAGTCATCATAATCTGTATTCTCAGTGGCATAACAAATACAGACATTCAAGTGTGGATGTTAGCTATTCAGAGGACTCTGGTAGTGTTAAAAGTACTAGGTAAGTATTAACTGACGTGTAACGCTATTTAGCCCATTTTGGCCATGAGGCACAAATTTGTGCCCATTTGCCAACTCTTTCTTTGTTAAGAAATGTACTTCTATAATTCTATTTTGACTTTATAATGTTCGTAACGTTATGTAGATTTTTTTTATAAAACAGTATTGTTGTTAATTATTACAGTGAAATAAGTGAAGATCGTGTGATTGGTAGACGCGCTGACAGAGAACAGAAGTGTCGAAGAGAGTCATCTGGTTCGGACTCAGACTGGGATAAACAGGTAAGAACTATTGTGTCTTGTGAAAAACGATGACTAACATTATAACCCACATTCCATATATATTAAAATTGATTTGCACACTTAAAGCCAACCAAACCAACTAACTATAATTTTTTTTAGGATGGCCGATCGAGTAATGTTGACGTTTCCGATATAAGAAAATCTTTGCTTGGTGAATTGGATAATGTTAAGATTCAAAGGTAATAATTACTATTCATATAAAAGATAGTAAGAAACAATAGTAAACAACATTTTTATTGAAAAACACTTTACGTACTGTCTGTAGTCAACGCGAGTGGTACATATTTAAATAAAACACTAACGGTTTAATACACGATATATATATTAGTTAAACGTATTTGAAAAATATTTTAACTACGGCGTTTCGGATGCTTTGCAGCAGCCGTGGTCTCGGGCTCTAATATACATCCGGTTTTAAACCGTTAAAGTGTCTTATTTAAATACTATAAATATAAACACACCTAACATTATTTGAAATGTTTTTAGTAATCATAATATTACAGAGGTTGATATTATTTTTAATGCTAACTCTCAGAATAACTGCTGGCGACGAGAACGTGCTATTTCATTTTGTGAATCTCGAGTCTGAAAGAGGAATTTTACTAGCGCCGGTCGCAACCATAGATAATGAATCTAGTAGCGCCATCTATAAATATATTATTTCCACATTTCGCACGACATGCAAAAGAATCCACGAATTATTACAGCACGGCATAAAGTAAGTTATAAAACTGTTAAAAAGTATGTGCCCTGTTTGACCGAAATTTATATTTCCTTAACTTGTTACTCAGATTTTATTTGCGCATTTTTAATATGAAGTATCTAATCATATCATTATGTTTTACAGAATTCAAATGTCGGTATTAAATAAAAAACTTGTCTTTTCTTAGTCGCATGAAATATTGCTTTATACTAAAACATTGTTAATCATGTATCACGAATTTTCAGATTCAAAAAGAATCATACACCCTCAAATCCTCTTAACAAGATGCTAGTTGGAGTAAAAGAGTATGGAATGCTATTCGAAGTACCACAGGATCTGTTAGCAGAGTCTGGTCTTCACAAGAAGAATGAATCTTTCTCTTTCTGGGTTGTTGGGTGAGTATTGTTGTCTTCTTCCTATATAAGACAGAAAGCATGCTTCATAATATGACATCATGTTTGTTAAAATTATAGCCACTTTTATATTGTGATTATGTGGGTAGGTAAAGCCAACTTCTCCGTGATAACATCCTCTCCTTCCCAGTAGCGTAGCTAGGTGGACAGTGGAAGTCTCTAGTTACATAAAGAAATAATCAAACCCTTATCCCCTCTATCCGTCTAACTTGAAGTATAGGTAGGAAAAAGAACATTTAAAAACTTAAAAAAAAAAAATTACACTTCTCTTTTTAAAAAATGAGGCTAGTGGCTCTAAGTTCTGGAGCCCTGGTGCAAAGCAGCAACTGTCCCCACGATGGCTATGCCACGGTGTTTTACATAAAATCCGATGAGGATAACATGGTAAAGAACTCGCAAGTTCCAGACCAAAAAATGCTACATGTATCTGCCAAAAGGCATTTAGCCAACATGGTAGTTTTATTTAAGAATCCAGGAAACACAGAAATATTACAGTAATATGGTCATAATGAATAGAGAGTAAAAAATGAAGCTCAGATGTTTCCTAAATAGTTACAGCTGTGGGAACTATTGAAGGGCTAATGATAATATATGTACTTTTAAGTTTACTATGTAGTGCCTTTTCAGACGCGTGATCAGCGAGCCCGCAGCGCGCGAGTTGTATGTGTGCTACCACGATTCAGTGCCGCAAGATCTCACTGAAATAGCGTATATGCTTTCCTATTTGGGATAACTGACAAGTATATGTCAATTGTCAATTCGTTCAATATGGATACAATTAATATTGGTCCGAAGATGACGCTTTGAACAAGAAGGAACGAATATTTATTTTCTCTTTAAGGATAATACTGGATATGTGAAATATTCATTTCGGTCGCAAATTTTTATTTTTGTTAAAATAAAAAATAAATGCTATTTTTATTTTTATATATGCTATAATATGATATTAATACTCAATGATGCAATCCGTCCAATACATTGTACTATACTTTATTATTTTTGGAAATAAATAGTTTTTGCTCCTCGTTACATATTTTTATTTTATGCACGTTTGAAATAATATTAAAAATTGGCTGTTTGGCGGTTTATTTAGTGCCTTTACCCCGTTTAAAACGCGATATGTAACTTATTAACTTCTCACGTAAACGTCACGTGCGCTGATTTGTTGGGTAAGCACCGGGTTTATTCTAAAGTTATGCATGAAAAAATAAACCGAAACAGATAATAACACTTGCATTTTATTCTGTCAAATAATTACTCTTTAAATTAATCGACTACCATAACCATGAGTTGACATCGTCACGTCACGTGGCGCCATATTACAAAATTCAAAATTAACAATGTTTAAACACTGAATCCCAATTAATGGGGTTGTAATCACGAAACAGATCCCATGAAAAATGACGACAATAAACCGGAAAATGCCTCGAGCTCCACTATCAATTTGGAAGAGACGTGGTCGAGTTCGTATCAGAACGAATTGAGGAATCGAGCTTTAGTTAACACTATGGAGCTGGAATCTGCTAGGATTGTGAGGACCGGAGTGCTGGGCGAGGCTTTTTACGATTGTACCAGTCGTCCAGATCAAGAACCGTGCTGCCACGTTAAAATGGTAAATGACGTTTTATAAATACTAATATGTAAAGCTGAAGGCTTTGCTTGTTTGAAAGCGCTAATCTAAGGAACTGCTGGTTTGAATTAAAAACATATTTTCATGTTGGTTAGAACATTTACCGAGGATATCTCAAATCGTACCTCTTATTGTAGTAATCACACATTGCTATCATAAATTGTAAATGTGAAAGTTTGTGTTTGTAAAGTGTTATGACCAATTTATTTAAATATTTGTAAAACTTGAATTTCAAGTACTATATATAAGTAGATTTAAAGATGGGCCGTGTACTTGTTTGATACTCGGTGGGTTTTTTGATACTCGTACTGAGCCGAATCGGTTATACTTTGTTATTTGTTAAAGAAAAACAATATATTAAGGTAGATATAATCAAAACTATGCTAATGAATGAGTAGTCAAGAGACAAAATTACGGGAAATTACCGGCGCAAAGCTGTTTGTACTTGTTTACGTTTTTGTAACTAAGTACTCGGTAGAAAAAAAACTTTAACCGAGTAAAACTCAGTACTCGTTACTCGGCCCATCTCTATTAGTAATACATCCGCTTAAGCGCAAAGATCACTCTTACTTACATTTAAGATATTTCTATAACGTGCGTAAGATTGGCGACAAGAAAATAGACAGGATTGATATTATCGTGACAGCTTCACTTTATAATCGTGTAATACTTTAATTAATTTTGGTTAGTTTCAATATTCTACAAGCTTGTGCACACCTAAATCTCCGCCTACTGATCTACCGTTTGTATATATGTATAATGCAGGGAATCAAAAATAACACCATTTATATATCGAATATGACAAAACACTATATTTACTTTTCCAGGACACAATTCACAAAATGAAGGATAGTACGAAGAAGTTATTACATATTTTGGATCAAATACAAGCGAAGACACGAAAAAAGTTTAGTATCTGTGAAGATGTGACGGTGAATGGTGTTTTACAAACTATGACTCCTTCAGTAAGTTGTATAACTGTAGAACTAACAAATATATAAATTGTTTATTTTGTACATTGTACCTACAACCATTGAGTTAATTCGTTGTCATAGCTTCATTGCTAACTAGTATTGCGTAAGTGCAAGAGGTCCCGAGTTCGAATTCCGTGGAAACATAATTAAAAATCTGACAAAGCATTTGCCTAAAGTCTGATTGGTCAGAGTATATCTGATTTCTCGGCCAGTTATAAATCATACCCACAAAAAAGCAATAAATAAAGATTTTATATTTGGAGTTATTGTATGGAGACCTACCAGCCCTGTCTTTAGTATGGAAGCAATAACATTTCCTAATAAATAAAAATAAATTCAAGACATGGAATTTATTACTGTTTATTAGAGCACGTCAACGTTAATCTGTCAGTTCCGTAATTTCTGCTGAATATACTTTTTTTTTTTAATTATTACAGATCTCGCAATCAAATCTGAATCTATCCGATATGATCCCGAACGAAGCACTCATACGCTTGGAATTACAAACCAGAGTAATGCAGAATATCAATGTTGAGGTAAAAAATTCTCATTTTTCTGTCATAGTTAACAAAATTTTAACAAGTGCGTTTTAAATTCGTTATTTGAATGTGTGGCGATTACCAATGTTCTTAGTGTAATTCCTTAAAATCTTGATCAAATAAAATAATTTTAACGGTTTAATAAACGTACGTAAAGGAAATGGCGATGTGAGTGAAATGGTTAGCAGCTAATCTTGAATGAGCTACTGGCCTTCTATAGTTATCTTCAATTAAAAAAACCGATTTAAAACGCGGATATCCCAACTGCTTATCAGTGTGGTGATGGGGAGGCAATATATTTCGCGTTGTAAACCGTTAGAAGCGGTTTTACTTATTAAAATTTCACTTTTATAAGTATCTGTTGATATTAAATACAATTAGTAATTTATGTTTAAGTCTGAAGAAGACGATTGTAGTGTATACAAAAAGTTGGCGAGGAAGTGCCATTGCTTAAACAATAAGGATTACAATGACTTCGTAATACATTTCAACGAGAACACGAAGTACACGACCAACAGCATCGGGGAGATTGTCAAGAATATGCGCATTTTGAAAAAGTTTCTATACATGGGAGGTGAATACACGAAGCATGCCCTTATGTTTCTTAACGATGTAAGTTTCTAATACAAAAATAACATGTTCTTTTAAACACTGTCCATAGTTTACGCGAGTAGTACACATTTAAATAAAACACTTCAACGTTTTTAAACGCGATATATTAGTTAAAATTATTTGAACAACTACGATCAGATGGCGCTATCGTAGCAGTTTTTACTTTGAGTTTTTACATTAGAGACAGTCTATACTTATTTAGTCTCCCCGTGACCACGGCTGCTACAAAGCATCCGAAACGTCGGGTCGAAGTTAAAAATCATTTTCAAATAAGTTTAACTATTATATCGCGTTTTAAACGGTTAAAGTGTTTTTTAAGTTAGTAAGTATTATCAAGATGTACAATATACACTGTTTGAAGTGTTATTTTAGGCATCTTATTAACATTTGGAATGTTTTATTATTTTATGATACTATAATACGGATAGGATTTGAACCCACGACCACAAGAACCATGCTGTTAATTTGAACAGTGAATAAAAACAAAATCACTTCCGGTAGAATAGAAGATAAATAACCTAGCTATATGACACCTCATCAAGATAGGCAAGATGTCGACATATGTTAGCTTTGGTTATTCGGAATTCCACAGAACCGAAATTTTGATTTTACTTCTCGGGGTTTTTACTTGGAAACGGTTCCTACCCATTTAATATCCAGATTTTCAGACATTTTTCAGAAAAATAATTAATTCATTAAAAACATGGTGCTCCCGGTCGGTACCGAATCCACTACCATATACATTGTTACTATTAGACCAACGAACTCAAAACGGATTACCAGCAATAAACGAATATTTTATTCAAGGGTCTCACCCACTCGAAGTTGCCGGAAAGGATCGAAATAATTCACGGATGCTCTCATGCTGATGTCTGTAATGTATTCGAGGAGCATTCGCTGGTTACGGTCTGTATATCGTGGCCGTGCAAAGCTGAGTTCTATGGTTGTACCACTAGTCAGGTAAAGAACGCTCTAAATGTCGAAGTCGAGTAAAGACTTTGTTGATACTAAAGTTTAGTTTTTTACTTGCTCGCGAAATTTTAAAGAAATGGCTTAGAAATATGCATTCAGATTTGTCTCTATCATTTAAAATTATTTTTATGGTCACATGGAGGGACTAAGAAAAGAGGGGGTGTCCCTAATATCAAAGTAAAAAAAACTGCTACGCTAGCGCCATCTGTTGCGCCAAAAACCAACTTTGGCGAAACTGGCTAGGTCCTTTCAAAAGTGACCTACGATGTCACCTCCGTAGCTAAAATATATTGTAAATAAGTACATTTGACGTTTTAAACCGTTGAGTGTGTACTACTGGCGTAAACTACAAACAGTACTTAAATAATAGTTTATTTCTAGGTTTGGGCAGCCCAGCTACTTCTAAAACTAGCCGATCTAGAAGACGGCAGACGATACTTGAATTTTAACTCGAAAATAACGAACGACATAAGAAAGATACTGAGAAAAAGAGCAACACAACTCGACATTGTTATCATAGAAACGTTGAACGAAGTGCTAAACCTCTTAAGACCGGTATTCGCGAAGAATCCAAATGTCTCGTACATCTGCAAGACGGCCAACGAAGGTAATAAACTTACTAACCGAGCACAAAACACACAGAACATAAGCCCGTATAGATTTGGAAGTCTATCAGTATGTCGAACGGAAGTCTATAGGAGAAAAATTATACCGTCCTATACTGACTGATATAGGTAATTAAGTTCAAATACTGTCTATAGTTTACGCGAGTAGTACATGTTAACAAACCCCCTTTAACGGTTTAAAACGCGATATATTAGTTCAACTTATTTGAAAACGATTTTTCACGTTCGTTCACATTTAACTAATATATCCCACTTTAAACCGTTAAAGTGTTTTATTTTAATTAAGTTTCTGTTTAGGTGAAGATGCAACTTAGTCTTAGTTTTAAAACTACGTCATTTTATATTAAAAAAGTGATCATGGTTAAGATGAGCTATTTTATGGAAAATTTTCGCCTACTTTACGCTTTTCGCTTATTAACGCCTACCTTACTTCTTTTTTGATGACGGCTGATAAGCATGGGATTCAATTGATGTAAGATTGTGTACCCCAGCATAGATTTTGGCTTTGGACATTCGGAATGAAATATCGCATCGATTAAATTATGAATTATACATTTGGCAGTTGAAACACTCTTAATTTATGATCTTTAAACTTTGAAATAAAACACTCTAACGATTTAAAACGCAATATATATATTTCAAACTTGTTTGGAAATAATTTTTACTACAGCCCGACGTTTCCCGATCTTAAAACTATTTGATCAACTTCAGTGCTACTCTTTATACTGCTTTAGATAGTACCCTTTATGTGCACAGTTGTTTGCGCGTAGGTAGAAAGATATTATATCTTTATTATCGATCGTTAAGTATAAATTAACGTTCCTTTTTGTGAATTTGTGAGTATCTTAAGATAAAATTGACAGCGCATCTTAATTGGATGGTTAGAGAATTATATAATCATGGCTTTATAAAAAGTAATCCTTTTCATACTAGTTGCATCTTCACATAATAAAAATCCAGAGTTCAATCAACATTTCCTGAAGAAGATTACATTTTTAGGTATCGGCAGCAGGACTATCAAGGATCTCGTAGAATCTCGCGAGTACATGACTTTAAACGAGATTTTCATGCATTTGGATTTATTGAGAAACTTTAGCAAAATAGATTTCGGTAAAGACGAGCTCACATTGAATCTGCCAGCTCTGTTACTTCTGTTCAGAGATCTATTGCGGGAGTATGATAATAGTGAAATGAACATTTTGATTATGAATATGTTAACGAACCTTATGGCAAGACATATAAGGAAGCCTGAACAAGGAAAAATCTCCAGTGCCAAGGCAATAGCTGATGCGGCAACAGAGGTAACATCTGTCGAATATATTAAATTATTGTTGCAAAAAAAATGTAATGAAATCGGTCAAGTGATACCGTACTACCTTTATATTGTCATAAGTAATTTTAAGTGTTACCAGTTAAGGGTATCGAGGAAAAATGTCCCCTAAAAAGCAATGGCGGATCCAGGGGATCCCTACCCACTGAGTTGGTTCCAGGCCTTAGATGGACATGTTGATTTTATTTACAAATTATTATGTGTTAAATTATTTAAGTGTACAATTAATAATTAATATTTCAAGTACAGTACGTTTACGTATACTTATTAATAAAATACCTACTTTTTACTTTCACATAAAAAAGTTCTTGACTTGACCTCGACTGTGTGACCCCTCCTGGCGCCAAAACTGGTTCCGCCCTTGCTAAAGAGGAGAGAATATACTTATGATAGTATTTATTAGACAAATCAATTATTTATTTAAATTCAGGCTTCGTGAATAAAATATTTATCTTATGTTAAAGCCAATCAGAAAGAAGAATGAGGGTATCCAGATGCCACCTAAAAAAAATATAAAGAAACACAAGAATATGAAAGGTTTAGGAGTGTCTCCTGTGAAGTTAATGAATCAATCGAAACGACGGAGTAAGTCCTTTTGTCTATGAGTGCATTCAAAATATGATAGATTTGAATTATTTTCATGGGTTCAAAAGTAAAAATAACTTACTTTCAATATTATTTTATATTTTTAGGTGCAGTTTGCACCATGCAGTTGAAATTTTATTATTTTTAATTAAAATAAATGATATTTGTGTGGCAGTTTCAGATTGGGATCCATCTAACAATTTTCTTAACCGATCAAAAAAGTTTACCAAAGGTACAGCATTTGGTTTAGATTATGTATATAAAAAAAAATTGTTGAAACTAAATGATAAATTAATTATATTGACAAACAATGAAATTGGGTCTAAAAAAAGTCTTGTTTTAAAATTCCTTTTAACATTTGTTACAGATATGAGATCTTCAATAATAATTGTGCCGCTTGAAAAAAAATTCACAGTGTAAAATAAAATATTTAATCCTATCAAAAACCATCCACACCTTTATATGTAAAAATACTAAAATTGTATATTAATAAAAACAATTTATTTAACTTTTTACTATTCCTTGTAGCTTTTGAATGAGATTAAGAGAATAAATAAATGTATTATATAGAGATTTCACTATTTCTTAATTACATTGGGCAAACAAAGCCAGGTAACAACATATAAATGCTTAAATAAGGTACTTGAGATCCTACTTAGTCGCTAAGCTTAGGCATCATAAATACTTGGGGCCTATACATTAGAAAAAACATATTTAATCAAAATCTCTACCATTATAACGGTTGCCATTATCAAAATATGCCACACTCCTTTTGTTCTGTGGACCAGGATTGCTAGGTTTGAAGAGCATAGCCAATAAAATATAGAACCCCCCAACTATTTTACTAAGAAAATCTAAAAATCCTAGAAGCATAGGTGTAGAGTTTTTTATTAAAAGTGAAAACTCTCTAAGCAAAGCTAAAATAAAATTACCAAGGAAGTTTACAAAGGCTATACTACCGGTGAATACAGCAATAACTAATGCTACTATAAATGTAACAAACTCTTTCACATTTCGTATAGACAAGGCACTCTTCAATGTTTCTTTTATGTCAGAAAAACTTTCATCATTGCTTGCCTTAACTTCGACTTGGCTATCTTCTACCTTTTTTGGTTTCACAGCTCCTGTTAGTATAGGTTCTAACTCTATGAATGCGTCAGTGATATGTCTCACGCAATTCAATGTCAGTAATATTTCATGCTCTCTAAACTTTATACTTTTGATTTGAAACCAGAATGGACCAAACGGTTGATTATCTATTTCCGTCCACATGCACATCCCCGAAGACACGTTTAGACCAAGAGTGCTGGAGTCCGTGACGCCGATCCAATGTAAATTTGGATAGACCAAACGAAGTCTTCTCACCGCTTCTAGTAAATCCTTTTTTAATTCAGTCTCAGCAGCACTTACTAATACCACATCACGGTAACCGATACGTTGATCTACGAGCCTTCTCTCTAGATACCGGCCCAAAAATATTCGCGAACGGAGCAAATCTTTAACATATTTCTTAACGAGAACAATGGCCATATCGTCAGAACTATCCAAGCGCGACGAGGCCGGAGACGAATTAGCAGATGAGCTTTGCATTACGCTGGTCATTGTATAGCTCTATATCACCAAAAATAATAATAAAATGTAAAGAATTTTTATCAAAACATTGCAAAATTAACATTACCAAGAAAGGAACATAATATCACAGAAATGCAAAGTTCAAAATAGTTGTCATATGTCAAAGTGACATTGACGTACGCGACGCGTTTAGCAACATAATTAAATCATTAATTTTAAGGTAAGGACTAGAGAAGAAAAGGAAGAATTAAAAAATACCCTGACAAGCGGTAAATTAAGCGCATTATACTTGCCTACGCTGTAGGCAAGCGTAAAAATCTAAACATTTTATATTTACAAACCCTATTATTTTCTCACATCTGTAGCACCGATTTTGAATTTGTATTTCCTTTATCTTTGTAATTATGAAAAATAAAACAAGAGATATTTACATACGAACTGATTTATTTAAAAATATAATAAACATTTTAGATCTTACTTGCTTTCTGATTTGTCTAAGAGCAAACTAAATAAGTTTAGGAATAGGAAATTACGTTATACTCTAGACACATTTTGTAAGTAGGATCAATAATAAATCATAAAATCTTTAAGACATATGACTATCTACTTTAAGGACGAAAAATTTAAAGCAATAATTTCTAATATTGTATAAACATAGCCTTGTTATATCTAACAGAAGATAAAATTATATGTACAGAAACTTAAAAATGAATGACTTTTTAGCTCACAAAAGTGAATAATAGACTTAAAAGTATCGATAAAATTAACTAAGCATCTACTTATATAGAACAAACATAGGTAATCATACTTATTTAAAATAGTAAAAAAGAGACAACATTAAGTTATCGAAATAAGAGATCTCTTAAAAATAATGTCATATGATATCTAAGGAAAATATACTAATTATTGTGTAGAAAAAGTCAAGTATTAAGTACTATAATTGACTATTTAAGATTTGAACTATCTAGCCATTTCTATACTTTCCTTAGCAAATATAAATTTGTGTATATCCTCACTACTCACAACCTTACATCTCCGCCTTGGCGATAGGGTTTCGTTTGAGAAACTAAGAAACCCTGTAACTTTAGGCCACGGAAGATATTCACTCAAATGTGTTTTATAGAGAAAGTTTAAGCTGGAGATATAGCTAATGCCTAAAATTATTTTGATTTGATGGTATGTTCAGAAAAATTTGCAATACTTTAATTGTATCCTCAAATCGATATTCTATCCATCTAAATAAATAGAAACATAGTCAAGCCATCGTAAGTGAGATTCAACAGTTAATATTTTATCAAAGTGAATATCAGGCGTTAATACTCCTCAAAAATTTTAAATGACTAATAACTACAATAATTAAGAAAAGAAATAAAATTATTTACCTAAACATAACACTTTTACGAGTTTGAAACGTAAAATATTTAAGTGGACAATTTATGAGTCCCGCAGAACTTTTTACAAACGGTTCAAAGCGATTTATTAGAATAGGTACTAATTACGTAAACTACAGACAATGCTTAGAATTAATTATTCTAATTACACAGCCCTTAGGAAGGACTACATCAATTGCAGTAACATGAAATCCATTTCTTTAATTTAGCTTGTACTTTTTATAGTATTAAAAGCTTTATAGCATGGTGCAAAGGTGTTCGCCTTGAAACTCATAATTCGATTTTTCATTTTATAACCTGCAAAAATAGTTTTTTACAAATGTCTATTGACAAGTTTATTATGAAATTGTAATATAAATGACGTAAAACGTCAAATATTACGCACAGAACTTCTTCATACTGCCTACTAATTATATGCACTCTTTTTTTCTCTATCGTAAACAGATAAAATGAGACAACGTACGTGCATCATATCATATAGATACAAATAATCGCATCTCAAAAACCGCACTTGGAATTATCAAATGACGGTAGTCACCCGGTTCGACTACCCGCAAAATTTTACATCATATTTCCAACAGCCTTCAAGCTATTTAACGATAAGGAATCCGTGCACATTAGCTAGGAACTTGTCAAAATTGTCCTGAAAGCGAATCTTATGTGTTCTCATGCCATCAAACAATACACCATCTGTGAGAATACCGAAGGCCTCTTCCAACCTGGGAACGTTCCCCGGATCATTCACGGTATACGCTTCAATCAATTGTCTAGCTAATCCTTCTAGTAGGGCCGGTTTGACGCACGTCAACGCGTATATCGCCGCCCCGGCTGACGGTATTGTATCTGGTGGTATCTCCATTTTGATTATCAGCATGAGCAGCAACTCCGCCAAAGACAGCAGCGACATCGCATAGGGATTATCGGAACCAAGTGTCCGCACTTTGTTCGCGATACCGACGATTGTGTCACAACACAGTGTCGACACGTCGCAGGACACTGCAGTTAGACCAACCCTGAGAGCAGTCACCACCATATTGAAAAGTTCTACGGGGAGAACTGTCAACTGTAAAGGAAAAAAAACAATTTAATAACAAATAATGAATGTTTAGTTTTTCATAAGAAATTTCTACGGAAGATTTCAGTTACTTCCGATAGGTTCTCAAGAATACTGGAATCACAAACGTTAAGGTTGAAATTATCGTGTCAGAGTTGTATTGAATGGTTTAATTTTAAATGATTATGGTGTGGCATGGTACATCACTTAGCAGAGCCACGCCATACCGTGGAATATATCACTGATAAAGTTAAGTTAAAATATTAAAGTTTTCAAATGTTTCAACGTACATATACAATTGAAATAAATTAAAATTCCATATACCAGTTCGTGGTGATCCAGATTCTTTAGCATACGATAAGCACTGTGCGCAAGAGTCGGTAACGCTAGGAGCGACTGCGTTATCATCGGCAGCAGCAACCTGAGCCCACGGGCACAAGTATCACCCACGGGATGCTCCGTGCCGCAACTGGCGATTGCGCATATCAAATCCATTAGCGCACACACATCCTAGAAAAAGATATATTAAATGCAAACACTTGAAATTTTTATGATGTGCAATTTTTAAATACATGTAATTTATCTTCAACATTTACTAAGTGGTACAATTAATAAGAGGGTTATATAACCGATTCCAGGCAACCCAGAATGGAAGAAAAAGAAGTGTATGGAAACTAATTGAAGATGTGCAAGTTATGAGCTATGAAACAATTGTTTTTTATTAACATGACTTTGCTGCAGCTGCCCCATAAGTTACGGAAATAGTCTCGTATATAAATTTAATAGCGATTTTAAATTGAAAAAATTCTACGATACGGGCAGGAGTTTGAAACGGCACAGTGTTCCGTGCTATTGCTCTAACCAATTAAGCTTTCGTGTCAATAGGTTGAAACATATTTTATCTTAGTGCCATCATGTGCAAAATGAATGAACATGTGAAAAATATTAATGTAGTCTAGCCTAGTCATAATCTCATTCCAAGTAAATACCTCGTAAGCCTCCTCTTCAGCGCACTGTGGGATGCTGGAGATTTTCCCTGAGTTCCATCGCATATATACCTCGAACGTCGTATTGCACACTTCCAGAAATCTGTACGACAAAGGAAGTTTTGTTAAAAATGGACTTTAATTTAAGTTAACACCGATATTAATATTGTTTTACTAGGCAGACATTTATCTATGAGATTACTATTATCTACAGATATTATATTGAAAATTTATTTTGTATTGGTTAGCATCTATCGAGGAAAGCTTTGACCAACAGGAATAACGAAGTGAAATGAGGAAAAAACGAGAAAAAGTTTTTAGCTACTTTTTTATCGCCAACTCTGTTTTACATTAAAAACATTCCCTTACTTGATTGCATTCTGCTGCTGAACAGAGTGTAACATTCTTTTCGCACTTTTAGTGAGCAGATTGAGAGCTGACAACACCACGTTCGGGTAATTATGGTACTTGAAGAGTATGCCAGGAATCTTGTCGAGGGCAGCTATTAGCATTACGAATTGCTCGTCCACTGTTCCCACCTGAATGAATGAATCAAATTTAAGAATTAGATGTGATGTTTGCTTAGACAATAAATTGTAAGCCGATATTTACCTCGTGCACTCCCTCTGTAATGCCGATAAAACATTCAAGTGTGTCTGCAAGAATATAGATGGGTTCCGTATCAGATGCCATGGTCAATATGTTCTGTAATTTCTCCGTAAGCGCGACTGTACTCGTTAATAGTCTAGAGCGAGCTTCACCTAGAAATTTTATAATTTTACTATAAAGTAACAAATACTATCAATGACTATAATCCGGCTTGAAGGACCGAATCATTGATGCACTGCCAAAAAACATAAATCGGGTTTCCAAGTCTTAAAATAATATTTTTAATCTTCATTAATTTCTGTTACTTTATGCTACGCTCTACGGCTAATGATGCTATACATAATACATGTATTAACATATAATTTAAAAGTAAATTTTAATTAAACTGAGTAAGGATATAACATACCTTCAGCATACGTGGCGGCTATAGCGAAGGCTCTGTGCAATTCTTTCCGGACACTTCCGGGTAATTTACTTCCCGCCGCTTCCCACGCTACCAGGGAAAGGAATTCTTCCCAAATGTCTAGTGTACCCTCTCTACAAAAAAAAAACCACAAATACACATGTGTCATTAATCACAAATTAGAAATATCGACTATAGGAGATCCAAATCCATGAAAAACGCTAAGTAAAATTTAAGATATATTTTCAATATGTACAAACTATATACAACTGTATCATTGTCTTTCGGGCTGTTCGGCCGATGTGAGCGAGAAGAGGTTAGCCGTGAAAACCTTACACAATTTATATACAAGTTATATGTTGAAACTGATGGGGGATTTTTAAAATCCATACTTAAATTAATCGCTTATTATAACCAAAATTCATATTACAAACAAAACTATGTGAAAATTAGAGGTTCACAATATAAGGTTTTAGTAATTTTGGGTTTCGAGCTGTTCGCCCTCTTTAGATGGTAAGAGAGACTTACGAACCAAAACATCGCGACTTTCTCACAATCAAATATTTTACACATTTTAATAGACTCTCTCGTTTGTCTATACAATATTTTTTCAGAGACGCTCACTACTATGTTTAAGTCAATTACTTTAATAATATTTAGAAAATACAAGATGAATTTTATCCTCATTCCCACACTGCATACAAGAAAGGTCATATACATACTTGCGGCGGTTGTGTGCGAGTGTTGCCAGTAACAGCGTTGCGTGGGTTGCGGCGATAGGCTGCGAAGACATGTGTCGCAGTACGGCCGATGCTCGTCGGGTCAAGCGCCTGATAGACCACACTGATCCTTGAGACCCGACCCCGAAAGCGCTCTCCAACACCTAAAAAACAACTGCTACACGTAACTTATAATAATCTATGTTAATATAGAGGTAAAAAGTTTGGTTGGATATAGGCAGCAGAATGCTGGGATAACGAGTTTTTTATAACCTTCAAGACTTAAAAATTAAGTAATAAGAAACTAAAAAATAGAATTCGCCGTTCATAAATTGATTATAAACCAGAATAAATAATTTATCTTCTAAACTTTTTTTCGTTATTTTTTAAAAAAACAATTGAAGAATTATTTTTCACATAGCTATTTTCGAAGGGAAATATTTCTCGTCGTCGTATTTATGCTAAAACACTATATTTTATACATCTAAAGGCTGTTTTTTAAATAATAATAATAGGAGTGGACATAGCCAACATACTCACCGCTCCATATTCCGAAGACTGCTGCATCACGTAAGAGTTGGCCCATATTTTGAGAAGCCACGAAAGTGTGGCTGATAGTTCTGGACTAAACGCATATCCGAGACCCGCTTCTAAAGCCGCGCGCTCGTACTCGCCGGTGCGTAGAATTTCAGCTATAAGCCTGTACATAAACTAAATATTTAATCCTTACTTCATATTATAAATGCGAAAGTAACTCTGTCTGTCTGTTACTCTTTCACACCAAAACTACTAAACGGATTTGAACGAATTTTTGGTACACAGATGGTCTAGACCATAGGGTTGATAGGGGTTGAAAAAAGGGATGAAAGTTTCCCAGAAACCTGTGGGGTTGGAGTACCCTGCAGGGGGGAGTTGCCAGGTGGGCGTAAAAGTAATGCCAATAAAGAGGTCCTTCAAGCAGGACACTAATATTCAATCTCATTACGATCTTTTGATTACAGTACTGTAATTGAATGTTTCATACTTGATTATTGGATCGACATTCTCCGTATTGGTACTCTCGCCCACCAAATAGCGGAGCGATGCACCAACGTCTGCATTCTCGGATACGCTGTATTGAAGAATCTCTTGGGGAATCATTACAGTTTCTCCCTCCAAGACGTCTACTGCTATTGTGTGGCCTGAAAATTTCACATAAAGTAATATAAATAATGTGATATAATTTTGTCTTAACCTATTGCTCTATTCAAACTTAAAATAAATTTCAGCCTTTATTAAAGCGTTTTTATTTTTAAAAAATTAATTAGGTTTTGGATTATTTTAGAAAATACAAATCAAAACTTATGAGATTTATTTTTGTGTTGTGGGGTTTCTTACATTTTTATACAAACCTCTACTATTATATGACCTAGTAACTTATTGCAAAATTTGACTTACCAGTTATCATCAAAATCCAATGAAGATCTTCAAACAACAGAATTAATTGTTCACCAACACTTGTATCCTGTTTTCCCATGCACAATTGCAACAGAGATTCCAGTCTAAAAACATTATATTATTGTTGTAAATAACGAAAAAAAAAATCGTTACACTATCTAAATTCTAATCTAAACTTAAGCAGAGCGTAAAAATTGCCATCAAATCAGAGTGTTTTAAGTTATATTACAGTACCAACTTCCGAAATAACTGGCTGACTGGGACTTCTAGTATTACAACAAAAAGAGTTTATTCGTGATAGATAGGCTCGAATGTTAACCAACCTCTTACTTCTTTCAGTGAGTAGAGAGTACAGCACGTGACAGCAATGCGCAGGCGCCTTTCGAGCCATTGCACCGATTGTCATTAACACGTTACTGTGCAATTGTCTTTCGTCCTCTTGTACATCGTCCTTGATGTCGTCGTTGCAACCGTCATTAACTTCAGCACCCCTAAAATAATATTTTATAACTATAGGTGTTCGCTGCATTAGAAAAAAATATTCTTTAGTATAGTTATTACGAAAGCCTTTTCTAGAATTTTCTTATTAATTGTTGGTGCTCCTTCATGTTTTACGCGGTACGTGAAATTTCATAAATTCAAATTAAAGAAGAGTTTATGTAAAGGCAAGGGGAATCCATACTTTGTTTAGTTGTGTCATAATTAAATCTAAATAATGAAACATATATAAGTTTTCTATATTGCAATTTTATTTTTTTTAACTATCCAATGAATTTACTTTACATCTCCCCAGTTAACAAGACATAAATTCTTCTTTACCTTGTAATTTAGTGCAATTTAAAAGATATTTTTGAATTACCTAGTTCCATCAGGTGGAGCTAATCTGCACTGAAGATATGTATTAAATACCTCTATACATGGTGTCATAAGTTGATCATTAGTAAATCCATCAGAGTCATGCACAAGAGAACACCATGTATTAAGAAATTTATTAAATGACTCCCTCCACACTGTGTCATCGTTAATCTGAAAGAATCATAAATATAGTATGAAAAAAATTAATTCTTGCTCAAGCTTAAGGAAACAAATTTAAAAATCAGGATCAAACATCTCAAAAAACATACTTACACCTTTTAAATAAAACACTCCCCGTGACCACAGCAGTCGCGCCGAAGTTAAAAATCATTGTTCAAATAAGTTTAACTAATATATCGCGTTTTAAACCGTAAAAGTGTTTTATTTAAATGTGTACTACTCGCGTAAACTATAGACAGTATATACTTACACCTTCTTCAATAATGGAGCCCCGTATACAGTGACAAGTGTATGTCGTTAAATTTTGTAGGAATGCTGGAGGTGAAGCAGCAATCATTGGGGGAGTGAAGAATTGCACAAGTCTCTGATAAATATCCGCAATCCCAAGCATCTCTCGATCAAAGGGTTGTATCATAGACAACATTCTCATAAAATGATTAACATAGTTCTCAAAATATTGTTGCTTTAAATTACCCATAGATACCACTACACCAGTCAAACTTGCCAATTGAACAAGACAAGTTAATGAAGGGTTGGCTAGATCTGTATTTGACCGAACATGCAAATGTATTTCAAAGAAAAGAGCAATCAACTCTGGCTTCATTATTGTGTCCCTCCAATTATGGTTCAGACGTAACGCTCTGGGCCCATCGCTTTCATATATAGTTTCCAAGGTACGAGTCAAACGTTTTGATAGAAGTGTCACATGACTCCAACATAGTATAGTTTCGACTATAGTTAATAACTGTTTTGTTAATATTGCATTGTCACCTTCTGGCCTTACTCCAGACCTGACAATTTGCTCTAAAACACCAACCGTGAAACGGAATATTCTTTTCAAATCTGTAGCTTCAAATGTTTTCTTAAGCCAAATATGTACTTCCCAAGTTAATCCTACATCAGATGACTTAACTGTAATGGCATATTCTTGCATGATTGCTTGTATTAACGCACATGCTAATTTTTGTTGCCCAATTGGTGAGCTTAGAATAATTTTCTCTAATTCTGTTAATAAGGCTTTACGATCTCGTCCAGTGTCATTTATACTGCCCCTTTTAATGATAACTGCAATTGTCTAGAAATATATACATATATATTAATATAAATTAATTAAACTAATCATTTTCAATATAAGTAGCTCTTTTGAATATTCATCAATCAATTAATAATAATATAATCACTTTCTTTCAAATTTAATTCAATTCAAGATTCAAAGTGAACAATTACAGCTGTCAGTCAAAATGAGAGTGGACCAATAGTTCCCACCTCAACCATTTTTAATGAAAAAATATAATACCTGTAACAATTTTTCTCTCAAGAATAGGGGTGGCTCTTTTCTCATAAGATAGTTAAGTAAATATTCACGGAGAGATGAAATGTCATTCTCGTTTAGAAGATTCCATTCGCGGATCAAAGCTGTCTTCAATAATCCAGCTGCCTCAAAGAGAACATAATCAGATGAAGATTTCTCGAGAACTTCTCTGCACAGTTGATAGGGGTTTTTTGTACTTCGTAGTTCCATGAATACTCTCTCAGCATGATGTCTTTGCTCTGATGTAACCAAATTCGGCGGCGCCTAAAGTTTATAATAATATATTAGAAAGTATTTAAAAATGTAAATTTTAACGACTTTGTAAATACTAACCATAAGCATTTGAGCCGCAGCTTCTAAAGTTTGAATAGAATTATCCATGTTATTTAATTATGTTAATATTAATTATGCTGAAATAATGATGGTTCTATGAATGGTGCATAATCACACGTGTATTTTGCATTGTAGTATCCTTAATTACAAAAAAGTAAAGCCAACTCGCCGGCAACTTAACACGGTGTAAGTTTACTCGACATAAATATTGTAACAATTTCATTCATTGCAATATTTTTTATTCTACTTCCTGCAATTCACAAAATGTGTAATGTCATAATGACAATTACTCGATGCCATCGGCGAAATTTTCTTGTTCTTCTTCTTCGTATTTGTTTGGAATTCTTCTTGATTAGAATTAAATGTTATAAATAGGAACATATTTTTGTTGATATTAGTTATTCTTGGATTTAGTAATAAAATAAACGAAGTATAATAAATACCTCCATGCAGTCTCGTTGTATTAAAATAATTGTGTCTTTTCCTCGGTATTGTGTTGTAATCAATTGAATAATTTAAAATATTTCCTCTTTTATTTAATTACCTTAGAAAAAAAGTATCATTGCGGATTTTCCTGATAATGTAAAACTTTATAAAATACTCTTTGCTGACTTTTACTGTAAAAAAATATTTTGTTAGGTATAAGTAAAGATTTAGAACACCTATTTTGCATTAAGTATTTAATTTTTAAAGAAAAAGGAAAACATTAAAAATATTATTTAATTATACATATTTATTTTGATTGGATTACCTAACTAGTTACATACTTTTAACCAAATTAGTTTACTATTGTAAAATAAGAATTAAGTTACTATTAATACTTATTTTTTATTTACATTTGTTAATAACTAATATACGTATTAAGCAAATGACTAGTAGGGATTGATCACCGTAATTTACTGGTTCTTAGATTATATTTCATTTTCAATCATATGTAACCTTCTGTCTAATAAATCTTTTTGGAGCCTATGCATACATAAAAATTTACCATTTAAAAAGAGAACTGGTATATCATATCTGTATAACCGAAGCCACCTTAAGTTTTCCTTATCTGTTATATAAACTTTTTCAATTCTAATTCTATTTTTATATGGCTCTAATTCTTCAACAACAATGTCGCAGAGAGGACATGGATCTTTAGTATACAATGTTACAACTGGTACACCAACAGCGGCTTCAGGTCTGAAAACAAGAATGGCTTCATATAATAAAACACTAGAGAATTCTAATAAATATTTTAATGTTTCAATATCTGTACAAACATAAAAAGAACTGAGCTTAACTTTTAAAACTACCATCTTTGAGGTAGCAACTTGCAATATATAATAAGCTAATTACAAAGGCACTTATAGAATCATCATACATTCAACATCAGTTGTAAACTTAGTAACAAAACACCAGTAGTAAAATATAAAAGCTCATAATATCCAATGCTTTAACATTCTCACACCAAAATGTTTCATCCTTTAAATATTATTATTATATAATAAAATGTCAAAAGCAAATAACAATACAGTTGGATTATGACAAGAAATATAAAAATATATACAGTTGTAAGTTGCCAAATTCGACTGCTTAATTGACGCATACACTTACAATTTCTCAATCATGATAGATGAAGCACCACCACCGCCATTACAGATAGATGCCACACCCTTTTCTCCTTTTTTAAGTGCATGGCATAGATGTACAACAATTCTAGCTCCAGACATTCCTATTGGGTGCCCTAGGCTGACAGCACCACCATGAACATTAATCTTGGCAGGATCTATATCCAAAAGCTTTTGATTAGCAATAGCCACTGTGCTAAATGCCTCATTAATCTCCCAGAGGGCTACGTCATCTTTACTGACACCAGTCTTTTCTAATAGCTTAGGAATAGCCACAGCTGGAGCAATTGGGAAATCAATTGGGTCACACTCCCCATCAGCAAAACCAACTATTTTAGCAATGGGTGTTACTTTAAGTCTTTGTGCAGCTTCGGCTGTCATTAAAACCAATGCAGCAGCACCATCATTGAGAGTAGATGCATTTCCAGCTGTTACTGTGCCATTTTCTTTTTGAAATACTGTTGCAAGCTTAGTGAATTTCTCGAAATTAACCCTTTTGTACTCCTCATCTTCAGAGAATATAACTGGAGGAGCTCCTCTTCTCTGTGGTACACTTACTGGTACTAGTTCATCAGCAAATGCCTTATTTTCATAAGCTGCTGCACTTCTTTTGTAGCTGTTTATAGCATATTCATCCTGTTGTTCTCTTGTGATTTCTAATTTCTTAGCTGTGTTTTCAGCACAGTTCCCCATGTGAAATTTGTTGTAAACGTCAGTCAAACCATCAAATACAATGCCATCAACTAGTTGCATGCCTCCGTAGGTAGTTTCCCCTCGTTTTAGATAGAATGGTACGTTGGACATTGATTCCATACCACCCGCTAGGATCACATCCTGGGCTCCAGTTTGTAGGCCTTGAGCAGCAAGCATTACAGATTTCATGCCTGATGCACATACCTTGTTTACTGTAGTACAAATTGTACTTTTTGGAAGGCCGGCAAAAATTACAGCCTGTCTGGCTGGAGCTTGACCCAAAGACCCGGAGCATACATTACCAAGGTACACCTGAAAAGGAGAAGATATCAAATGTAAATATTAAGTGTAAATACATATTTACTTAGTGTCAAATGAATTTTGTCATCTGTTCTCAAATTTTTATAAATTGTTATCTTATCACATAGTCGATTGATGACATAACTCACGGCAAACACGCTATGTATACATCTAAACGATGTATCAGGCCACATAACGGAATGAACGTGCAGGAAAAAAGTAACGTTAGTTAACCTCTTTAATTTCTTCTTTAGGAATGCCGGCTCGCTCGACAGCGGCTTTTACAGCAACTGCGCCCAATTCCGTTGCAGATAGACTAGATAAACTGCCCCTGAAGGATCCCATAGGAGTCCTTACCGCAGATGCTATCACCACCTCATTCAGCGCGATTTTAGTGGAATAGCTCGCCATGGTCAGAATCTAATTGAATAAAATATTTGATTGTTATTATTTTATAGTTCAATATTTTCTGAACAATAGACTCGATAAAAAATAATCGCGTGACTCGTTATTATTTATTGCATAATGACAATTGTTAGGTGTAATTAAATACCTGTGCGAAATCGTTTACGTTCCGTGATTGAAGTTAAACCTACACGGTCGTCACCTATGCTTGTTTCGACGCGACTGGCGTAAGGCGTTTCACATTTTTTACCCAGCTTCGAAAGGAAAAACTACAAACCTTATTCACCGATCGCATTTTGATGCTTATCATCCTACTTCCATAGAAAACCATTTTGAAAATAAAAGAAATTAACACAACAAACGCGAGCAATTTTACTTAGTGCCAGCTAGTAGATAACAAATCACAGAATAATTTTCATATCAAAACACACAACTTATCGTCAAAATGTAAAGAATATAATTATTGCCATCTATAGTTGTCGTCAATTGAATTTGCACTTTATGTCTTTGACTTAAAGTTGGTAAAAAATGTTAATCGAAACTGTGAGATCTGATCTTTGACCATTTATTTATTCTACAACTTTAAAGGCTTAGGCACACTACACGTAAGCAGCTTTAAGTTGTAGATGGCTCTTTGTAATGTTGAAGTAACCGCAACAATCTAATTTCATTCATAATTTCAGTTACATACCTATGCTATGTATGTTTCTATAAAGGCTATGAAATAGATTTAAATTTGCATACCGAGTGTCGGACGTATATTTGTTATTTATCGTTGCATATATATGTTTGCTAGTAAATTCTGAAAGAAAATTCTACTGAAAAATTTACCGATCAAAGATACCCCCATACGAAATAAGCAACGTGTATAGGTACTATCATTAATAATAAGTAAGTTATTCCCATAAATATATAGCATTGCTTAAAATAATTAATACAAAACATCTTCAGTAACAAAATGGCCAGACATAAGAAAAATCAATAGAACTTTTAAAAAATATCTTTAAAAAAAGTAAAAAAAAACTTGCGAACTTCGACTCTTATATTTTTGTAGATAGAGAAAAAATTTGTCAACGACGCAATTGTAATTGATATTTCTTCTCATGACAATTTGTCGGTTGGTTATGTTATATGGTATATTGTTAAATAAAATTATTATTTCTTATAAAAATAATATATCTTCATAAAATTACGAAGATCAGTCTAAACAAAACTAAAGAAAATAAGTACCGCGATATCTTAAAACAGTACTGTTATAATATATTTCTGACAAAGGCATGCAAAAAAGTACAAGAGATGAGTCATCTCTAATAATTTTTTAATTTTTTAACATCCTTCATCCAGTCACCTGATGACTGGATTAAGGAGGTTAAAACAACCTAAATAGATTATATAAAAAACAGTATGCATATTATGATGTTAAGGAATATAATAAATGTTCTTCTTCTTCTTCATTTAATGAGTAATGACAAGGCGTGTTCGTATAAATTATTATTCTTATTTTTTTCTCAATGGTATTAAGAAAAATCACGGTATTTAAAAGAACATATTGTCAGAAAGATTAATTGATGTTATTTAATTGGCACATCACTAGTCATGACGAATTGACAGATCACAAGAATCGCAATCGCACGATTAGTCCAATATAACATAATAGTAGTATCATTTGTTATCTTGTATGTCTGTGGTACATATCAATGTAGGATTTAATATATTTTTATACTAGAACTGAGTAGTCTGTAAGTGATGCTGATTATAATATCTGTGTACTTTATTAATAATAATTTAACATCACAAAAGCAATATTAGTTTTTAATAGCCAGATTGACTTTTTAAATATTTTAAGTTAAACATTTATTATTTAGGCCCTAAAATAATAAACGGTATGTACGAAATAATTTATTTAGTGTTTTATAAATAAACTATAAATCTTATATTCTTTCTCAATAATATTTTACCATAATAATTCCATGTGATTTGTTTACAAATTTTTGGAGCGTGGCAAAAATACATATCATGGAATTAATATAACTTTATTAGAATTTGTCCTATAATTAAAATAAGTAGTATGTTTCCTTTCAAACATAACGCACCATTATCTCTTTAAGATCATCAGATTACTATCACACTTATTTAATTACGCGGCTAAAACCTCTTAAAGAGTTCGTTAAAATTGATAAGATAAGGTCTTAAACTGTTAGGCAATTATCTTCATATTGACATTTTGTAATTCTGCTTACACAGTGGTGGGAGATGAAATAATCAAGGATGTATGACACATGTACATCTTTGTCTTCACTTTAACACTAAGAAAATATTAATTCAGCTCACAGTAAGTATCTTTTATACTATTTTATTATTACAATGATTAATATGAATGTGTATTGCATATATTTTCATTCAACAAATACATAATTATTGTATGAGTCATGGCATTTCTAATATATGTTTTGTACATCATTACTTTATTATAAATGCACTTAATTATCATGCATTTTAGATGTTTTCCTAATATTTAAACACTTTTCTTATGAAACTTGACCAGATTTTTAAAAAAATGGCTTTTGTTTACAAATAATAACTTGTAGATAAAAAGTGATATGTCTAGTGTCTTTGTTAATAATAGAAGATCTATGTAACTCATGTGCTCCATCGTTTTAAGTTTTTTTGTTTAATTTGTGTATAATACATCATAGTATTGAATACTGAGGTACAACATGTTTAATTTTTTTTTTATTTCTCAAAGCAAATATAACTAGGAAAGTTGCTTGATATAGCAGTATCAGTGTTTAAGCCCAGTTGTGCACCAACTTAGAGCCTCTGATAAATCCAGTAAAAATGATTGATTCTAAGTTTCTAAGCTACATCGACAAAGTATTATTTGTAAAACCAGTATTTATAACTTAAGCGCTAACATCTAGCCTTGCATTAACACAGTCTACGCTAATGAGCGCAATTAGTGCCACCTCTGTTTACATGCATGGAATTTAGCATTGAGTGTTTAAAGTCAAAATGTTCAAGCGGATGACTCTGTTTAAATATTGTTAGTATCATCAATATTATCAACAAAGTACATATGATAATATATTTTCTTTAAATAGAAGATTTATCACCATTTATACTGAGCATAAAATCTCATTTTTAAACACTTTCATTTCACAAAATTTAATTCTACTCAATTACTATTTAATTGTTACAGGGTTTTCAAATCATGCAGGCTATAACTTAGAACGTGGAATCAAAATGGATATTATTAATATGGATGAAGGTGTCTATGAGCCAAGAGAGAGTTTGCCTGGCAGCAGTGTGGAAAGTGCCTCAAGTAGCATCTTTGAAAGCTACGACACCAGCGAACAGACAACAGACACAGAGAGGCAATCTGATGATGAAGACCTGAAGGAAGATTTACAAAAAAATATACCGGAATGCTATAAGTCTGATTTAAATTTTACATCACAAAATATCACAGAGGATGATGAATTTCAAGCTACGGCTCTTTGCCAGTTTATGGATATCTTAAATGATTTAGATGAAGTTTTAGATAAGTCACTACTTGCTTGTCTAGACGATACAAAGAGGTTTGACAGCGACGAAGAGGATCTCATATGTAAAATTAAGGAATATATCGAAGATAGAGAAAGCTCAGAATCTTTAGATGACACGGAAGTTATATGTTCTGCAGAAAGCTCAAATCAAATACCTATAGATCAGATACCTCAATCATCTATAGGTAGATCGAAAAGCTTTTCTGATATAACAGAAACGGTAATGCCAGTATTGCAGAGTGCTAGTACAAATACATTACGTAATTCTATGCGACGGTTAGACCCCATAGTCTTACCAGCCATATCGCAGCAATCGGAACCATTGACTCTACCAGTTATATTGTTTTTGGAACATCATGTCTTAAGGCCGACTAGTGCACCGATTCAGTTACAAGTGACAGCCGCAAATTTAAGTCAGGACAGTGCATCTGGGCCGCTTATTGTGGGTCGAAGGACCCTGTTGATGAACCGCACACTGTCATTACCTTCCCCTGGTGAAAGTGAGATTACAGCAGAGTGGAGTAGAAATACAAACCGTAATACAGCTCGGAGTGGTAGTGTGTCTAGTTCCTCGACTGAATCCTCTAATGGTGTGCCTCCTATCAATCAAAGCCCGTTTATTGGGACGGATGACAGGTAAATTTTAAATGTTTTGAAGTGATAGATTCCAATTGGATACCATCTAGATGCTAATAATTTTTCTAGTCTTAAACAATAACCCACTATTGAAATGTTATATTTGTTTGTATTTAAACAAAACTATTAGCCAAATAAAGAAAAATCTAAAATTTTTATAACTTCCAAAAAAACTTACGAATTAAAAGAAAAAATTCAAGATATGTGATACTCATACTAACTTACTTATTTAAACTGTAAAACTGAAACTTGTCTGTTTTAGTATTACTAATAGTTTGATGATTGTAGATTTGCTTTTCAAGGCCTCTTTGCTAATCGTTATTGCGGATGAAATGATAAAAAAAGGCTGCCATAAAGATAAATTTAAAATTCTCAGGAACTACGGGTTCGAATTGAAAAAATATTTTTGTGTTGGCTAGAACATTTATCGAGGAAGGCTATAGGCTATAAAATATTGCGCTGTGACTAATAAAAGCGAAGATACAGCGGGAAATGTGAACAAAACGGGGGAAATTTTTCATCTCTGTGAGTTTCAGATGCGTACGCTGCGAAAACGGTTCAAGATACCTAAAAAATATGTATAAAAGAATGATTCCTCTTTAAATGATCTAAAAAAAGTCTGCGATGCTATATGTCTATCTTTTAAAGTTAACTTGCAAGGATAACGGGAAGGGACGCGTTCGACGTAGTGGCTAACAGCTTAAGTTAATAAAGATGACGGGGTTTGCAAAAACTAATTTGGATGCCTAAAATAACGATTCTCACGGTCGAAGTCACAGCTAGTAATTTATAATTTGAACAAATTATAAGCTTTTATTCATATGATAACTATTTATGTAGGACTTTGGATAACAATGAAATTTTTTGCTATTTACACGGTATATATGACAACTATAAGTTGTATCAATTAACTTAAGAATGTACCGTAGCAATGGCCTGTGTACAATTTTTATCAGATAAGCAGAGTGTAATGCATGGAATGACATGTACATTCACTATAAGTAGATTAGGCATGTAAAAATGTAATGTAGGCTGTTGTAGGGTTTCCTATAAATAGCGCAATTGTTTTAATGTATCGCTTATACTTTAATATATCTTACATGAACTACATAAAGTAAGTACTTCCCATGAAACTACATAAAGAAACATGTTTTATCGAAAATAAACATAGTGAAATTCCGTTGCCCCATAGGGCGAACACGTTTCGGTGCCCGGTTCTTTTACAGGCATGTGGTTGATCAGACTTATGTGCCCTGCCCGACCGAAACAATTTATTGTTGTTACGTAGGATTTGAATCAACCTCTCGTTTAACGCAATGCTAGGCAACACGTTTAACCATCTGGCTACAGGGTAAATAAATCTAGTAAAACACAAAATTGCATACACACATTTTTAAATGACTACTTGGTTGACTTTTACAAACGGATTTTTTTAAGATAAAAGAATAATAAAAGGAATACTTTAAATTTGCTGCGAAAAATTGATTTTTTTCTAAATACTGTCTATAGTTTACGCGAGTAGTACACATTTAAATAAAACACTTTAACGGTTTAAAACGCGATATATTCGATAAACTTATTTTCCGTCTCCCCGTGACCACGACTGCTGCAAAGCATCCGAAACGTCGGGCCGAAGTTAAAAATCATTTTCAAATAAGTTAAACTAATATATCGCGTTTTAAACGGTCAAAGCGTTTTATTTAAATGATTTTTTTTCCTAATAAAAACAATTAAGAATCACAATTTCACAATTTGCCCCTTTTTATTTCTTTATTTATTTTCATAAACCTCTCTCTGAAATATTCACATTCTGCAAAATTTTAATGAGTATAGTAATCACGTGATGGTAATAATAACTATTGGTAATTTATGATTTGATCTGCTTTTATACATTAACTCCAAATTCCTAACTTAGTCTTAAAACTTAGGAATCTTAATTAGACTTTTATATTTAACTTATTAATTTGTTTGTATAAATAATTGATGTGTGAGTTATGTGATAAATCATTTATTTCGCTTCAAGAGTTTAAAATACATTATGTTTTTTTCATAGACACGACGACCACGACGATGCACCTTTGGGAGTCTGGCCCCATCGAATGAGCGCTATGCTAGCGTGTCTCAGTTGCACAGTTGGGATTTTCAATATATCAAGATTCGCCATGTTTAGCGTTCATTTTGGAGGTAATTTCATTATTTTTATTATTACAATAATATTTACAGTAACACCACCAGTAAGAAACTCACACTTGTCTTTCCATAAGCATGATTTATTATGTTTCTCCGGGTACCGAACCCAGGTTACCTTAGATACCTGTCGCTATAAAGCCGCTAAGGAACTGAGAAGGTCTCGTGCAACAAAAAACACTTTATATTTTTCTGTTTTGTCTATACATACAGTTTATCAAAACAAAAGGAAAGAATTATCCAAATTAGCAAATACTTGAGGTTGGGTTAGTTATTTAACTAGTATACTAGAAACGCATTTTTGCCTATCTAAAAAAAAAAAAAAAAAAAAAAAAAAAAAAAAAGAAAAAAAAAAAAAAAAAAAAAAAAAAAAAAAAAAAAAAAAAAAAAAAAAAAAAAAAAAAAAAAAAAAAAAAAAAAAAAAAAAAAAAAAAAAAAAAAAAATAGTGTGGGGGGGGGGGGGGGGGGTTTTTTTTTTTTTTTTTTTTTTTTTTTTTTTTTGGGGATATTTTTTTTTTGGGGGGGTGGGGGGGGGGGGGGGGGGGGGGGGCCCAAAAAAAAAAAAAAAAAAAAAAAAAAAAAAAAGGAAAAAAAAAAAAAAAAAAAAAAAAAAAAAAAAAAAAAAAAAAAAAAAAAAAAAAAAAAAAAAAAAAAAAAAAAAACTTACCCTCCAAAAAAAATGGGGGGGGGGGTTTTTTTTTGGGGGTCCCGCGCGCGCGCCGCCCCCCCGGGTTTTTTTTTGGAAAAAAAAAAAATTTTTTTTGCCCCTTTTTAAGGGGGGGAAGGGTTTTTTTTGTTCCTTAAAGGGGGTGGTTTCTCTTGCTCAATATTCTATAGCGACAACCTACTTTTTAAAATAAGTGAAAAAACAATATTTTTACCTAGCTATTAGCTTCAGAACCCCGCGTGCGATTCGCACTTGGCCAATTTCTTTACTCTCTTTTTCTTTTATATATTTAATAAATATAATTTCTACCTTTTCAGCAAGCTTCATTGTACAATTTCTAATTCTATCACTGGTTATTGGCATACCGTTATTCACTCTACACCTATGCTTGGGCCAAGTATTGGAATCCGGGCCGATAGACATGTGGAGGATATCGCCAATATTTCAAGGGGTCGGCATATCTTTGCTGCTCACTCAGGCAGTTATTGGCATATACAGTATCGTTGGGTTGTCCTGGATATTCGTGTACTTTAGAGATTCCTTTATAAACGCCGATGACAAATACAAATGGGCCTTACCACGCGATTTTAGTTTTGACGGTAAGTTTTATTTATAGGTAATTATGTTCGTTATCTTTAACATGTTAATTGTAATTAATGATTTTACCAATTAGGATAGAAACTAGTAGTATTCATTTAAATAACACGTTAACCGTTTAAAACGCGAAATATATTGCCCCTCGCGACCACCTTGCGGCAGAGCACCCGAATCCTAGTTAAATATAAGTTAAATAAAATATCAGTACCGGTAGAGACGTTTGTTATACGTCAAACTACTTACAATAAAAATAGTACGTATTTTTAGAGGCACTATATAAAACTAAAAGATGAGAACAACATTAATTCAAAATACTAATGACTAGAATTATTGTTTTATATAAAATTCGAAATATAGTCTAGGAGACGTGAGTTCGAGTCCCAGTTGTATCATTAATTTCTGAAATCTAAATAAAATTAATTAATTGTATAGATAAATGATACTTTTAAAATGTAATATTCGTAGGTAAAAAAAACAAAAGCCAGGGTTGTGTAATTTGATTTTTTAACTACTGTTGTTTTGCTTGATCTTTGTTCGTATATTTCTAGATCCAGCACACATAAACATGACGAACAAAGTACACGAAACGATTCCTCAGTATTTCCACGGCGAGGTGCTGCAGCGTACTTCGAACAGCAGTAGCTTTGGCACGCTAAAGTTCCAAGTGGCTTTATACGTTACTGTCATATGGATGATCGTGTTTGTCTCGCTCAGTAAGGGATTGCGTTCGTACGGAAAGGTATGCATGCGAAGCCATATTTATGAAATCTAACAACACTAAAATATTATCTGTAGTATACGCGAGTGATACACATTTAAATAAAACACTTTAACGGTTTAAAACGCGATATAGTGCATTATAGCGATATTTTTTACTTATAGGTCAGACACACCCTCCATCTTTTGTCTCCCCGTTATTTTAACTACGGCCCGACGTTCGGATTCTTTGCAGCAGCCGTGGTCTCAGCAATTAAGTTTAACTAAGATATCGCGTTTTAAACCGTTAAGTGTTTTATTTACGCGTAAACAGTTAATACTAGAATATAACCTATCTGGTTCACTAACCTGTGAAAAATAAACATAATTATTACATTTTAGAAAAATTTCCACCTGAATCGGTTTTTAAAAAGTTTTTGTTTATTTATTTTTTTATTTCAGGCGGTGTACGTGTTTATATTCCTGCCGATTTGCGGTACCCTGGTACTATGCACCAAACTACTAACCCTGATTCCCTACGACTCCGTTACCAATATTTTCGCGGAAACGGAATGGAGTGAATTCTTCCTCATTAACCATGTAAGTTCTTACTCATTTACAAAAGGATGATTGTCTATAACTTACCTTTAGACGAGATTATGGAGTTTTGATTGTTTTTTTTAATTTGTTCTTTGACTAATTGTTCTTACTCAAGATTCGGACTGTCTCATACTAAAATAATAATATTTTTTTTGTAATTACCTGACCTGATTTTGTCTCATTGTACAGCTATAGATAAGTTTTGTTTTATATAAAACTTAATCTGACATAGCGATGGAAATCTAAAGGCAACATAGGTAGACGGCGCATCTTGTTTAGTTGTTATATAGCTGGGGTTTACACTTACCATCAAGTGAGGAATAATAAATTTCATGTCAAATACATTTTCAGAGTTGGGCGGCGGCTGTTCAAGAAACGTTTCTGACGTGGGGTCTCCTAGGCGCTTGCGTTATGCAATTGACCTCGCACAAAGACCCAAAGCACAAGAACACATCTATGCTGCAGCGTGATAGCGCATGTGTTGTCGCCTTTACGATAGCGGTGTTGCTATTGGCTTCATTTCTCGCAAACACCTGCATGCAAGTGTTGAAAAGTCACGGATACGTTTATATTCCTGGCAGTTTTGGTATGTAATAACTTATTAGAATTGCACTTTAAAACAAATACTGGTCCTTCAAGCCGGTTAAAATTATATACTAATTTTATAAAGGTAACGTTAATATTTTAACTTCCTGATTAAATTAAAATATACCTATAATACTTTTTAGGTATCTTTTTATAAAAAAGCAAAACACGTTTGTCCACACGTTATGATCACAAACACAAGTTTACTACACTAAAATTAATTTTAACAACACATAGTTTTATTATTTTTTTGCTACGAAAACAAATAATCGGAACATAAACTACATGATTTATCCATAGAGACGATAAAATCATCACAGTTCATCTGGCCGACTTCGGAACCGCTGCCTGGCAACGCAGCATCAGCTCCCGTTCGATATATGGGCCAATATGGAAGCCTCGTGGGAGTGACCGTGTGGCGCCAAGGAAACCTCGCCAAAACATTCAGCGGGTGGCAACCACTGCAGCTAGCTACTGAGATCGTGCCAGCCACTTTGGCAGTGTTGCCAGCTAATTTGGTATGTGTTACAATTAACCCTAAAAAATAATAAATAGAGTTTGTATAGGTCGAGTGAAAGGACTTGCTTGAAACTGTTAAGGATGCCTTTAAACTTTATTCTTCATTGTTATAGCGATATTATTTGTATAATGTATCTGATTGTTTCCTTATTTTATAAATAAATTACTTACTTACTGTTTCTTTTACACTGTTTCTTTAACCAAAATAAATAAGCAGCAAATCTTGTTTACATTAAATAGTGTCTGTAGTTTACGCGAGCACACATTAAATGGAACACTTTAACGGTTAACCTTACGTGTCTCCCCGTGACCACGGGCCAAAGCATCCGAATCGTCGGGCGGTGGTTAAAATAATTTTCAAATAAGTTTAATATATATCGCGTTTTTAATCCTTGAAGTGTTTTATTTAAATTTTGTTTACATGTTATATGAAGAAAAAGGTTCAAATTTTAATATTTTTTTATCTATTTTTTTGTAGATGTCACCCGCATGGGCCGTGATATTCTACTTCATCCTGATAATGTTCGGTCTGGCGCAGCAGCTAGCCATCTGGCACTGCGTGGTCGCTGGTCTGATGGCCATCAACCGGGACGCCTTGAGGGTCTGGGAGACCAGTATCACCTTCTTTAGTTGTGTCTTTGGACTTGCTATGGGATTGCTTTTATGTACCGATGTAAGATATTATTCTACTAAGATAAAGTGCGTGATTATGTGGGACTAATTATAATGGTAAAGTTAAGATAATTCTGAGCCTTGACCCACCAAAATATTTCGTTATTTTTCCCCGGATTTGAACGCCTTTGTGCTTAACGCAATCCTAGGCAACACGTTTAACTATTTAGCTACAAAGGCGGTCGATAACGAATGTTATTACTTCCTTTAACATTGGTAGGATGACGTGATTTGTGCTGTGTTTGATAAGAAGCTTGTAAATAAATAAAAAATAACCTGGTTAAAAAAATAACCTTGATCTTGCTGCAACAAGAAAAAAGCAAATCCAAAGCATCCCACACGTCGGGCCGAAGTTAATTAGTTGTAAATAAGTTTAACTGATATATAACGTGTTTTGACCCGTTTAAGTGTTTAGATAAATGTGTACTACACGCGTTAGCTACACACCGAGTGTCTATCTAATCTAATTTTTAAATATCAATTATTTATTTTCAGGCTGGAATTCGTATAATCCACTTCATCGATTACGTGTGGGTCGGTGCTTGGTGGCAATGCGTCCTGCAAGTGTCTCTCGCGATCGGCGTGTTCGTGGTACGAGGGCGACCGTACTCCGCAGATATCGTGGTAGCGGCTCTCTACAAGCCCACATCACGGATCTCGGCGGTGTTAAGTTTTGTTTGGACTGTCATTTTGCCTGTTTCACTTACGGTACGTACCGAATAACGCTAACGTGATTCGTTTATTTAGAATCACCTTCATTAAATTAGCTTATTGTTGTTTAAGACAGCGATACAGAATAAATACAATCATCTGTTAAGTGTTATATTCGAATGAAATGTGCCCCATCAAGGTTTAAAATATATAAACACACAATTATACATAACTAGCTGTGCCCGCGACTTAGTTCGCGTGTAATAGTGACTTGGGGTAGAATTTTTAATTATTTAGGCTGTTTATCAATTTATGTAATTGCGTATTTATCGCAGCCAATCTATGTTGTAAATGCTACTTTGCCGCAACACTCACCTCACATCACTCCTACTCTAACTTCCACTCTCACTCTCACTCCCAATCCCACTCCTATTCTCAAAAAGCCAAAGAAGAAAGTTTCAATGTTCTATCTTCACAAACCACGAATTTTCATACAAACTTTCACTCCCCCCTTTTAACCCCTTACAACCCCCTTTTCGCAATAATGCCTATGTTATTTCTCAGGGTCTAGAGTCTAGACCATATATGTACCAAATTTCATTCAAATCCGTTCAGTAGTTTTGGCGTGAAAGTGACACAGACAGACAGGGTTACTTTCGCATTTATAATATTAGTAAGGATTTAAAATACAACATAAGACTACTCTGTCATGACTAGCTTCTACTTCTATTCTCATATTCAATAGATTGATGTAAAAAATTTCAGGCACTGTGCGTAATGGATTTCCGCGTCGGGCAACACCGGCAACTGTATAGCTGGCGCAAAGCTGCAGCGTACGTATTAACCATATAACCTTAAAACAATAGAAACATCTTTAAGAAAACGATCCTATATGTATATAAAAATATCTCGAAACAAAGATTTTAATCAATTTAACATATGTAAAAACACTTGTTTAAGCGTATATAATAATTGTGTTTCAGCTACTGGCCAATATGGTGTCATCAAACAGCTGTTCTGCTGCAGCAAAGTGCGTTGCTGCTAGTGCCAGCGGTAGCCGTGCTGCAAACCTGGAGATATATGAACAAGGGACCGTCGGATATATTGGAGGTATGGGGCTGTGGCGACAATTTTATGCTACTCGCGGACATTTTTTTTAAATAATTGAATAATACTTCTTTCGTAGTCCTCTAAGATGAATTACTTTTCTCGTTTTTTTTTGCATTTCTCTGTGTTTCTTCGCACCTATTGGTCGCACTCTGATGTTTTATAGCTTAAAAAAAATAATGTAATTTAATGCTGGCATACCTTCTTGGATGAATGGTCCAATCAACACAAAAATAATTTTTCAATTCGAACCAGTAATTCCTGAGATTGTTATTATTATTACTTATAATATAAGTATACATTTTCCGTCTAGTCTAAAGAAATAAATGCTAAAAAGACAAACCTATTCAAAATGAATATGTTCGGTTTTAAGAAAGTTATAATACGGTTAATGTTTAACCTGCTCTAATATTGCACGCTACAAGGATTATGGGCGTGGCGATTGCTTGGACGATGTGGTGAGAAATTATATTGTTCTGTGTAATTTGTTACAAGTTCTAGCCCTAGTAACAAATATTACTAAAAATTATTATTTAAAGATTTTTTTCAATTATTTTTGAAATTTTAAATATATTCTAGTTAAATAATGTACATGTGTAAGTCTAGGAAATAAGTATCAATCCCTCAACCGGTTTAGCAAACCAATGAGTTATTATGATCTTAAAAACCTGTTTTATATGGTTCTGAACCAGATATTTACTGACAAATGTGGAAACAGATATTTTTGTAAATATTATGCGTGTTTCTTGTTTTTCTTCTACCTTATTCTTATCGTCTATTTACATATTTGCTTACAGCGTGTTCAAAATCTATACCGACCGCGTATGGGTTCGCCGCACGAGTGGCGTCCCCCAGGCGAAGCAGCGGCCCCCGCTGCCCCCCAAAGAGCACCACCCCCCGACCCACCGCCAAAATATACACCGCCCCCATCATATTCTACAGCGACTGGTGCAAGATTACTCAATACTATCCGAAGAAGTTTCAGGACTTTAAGAAGGTGAATGCCGTATTAAGTATTTCAACCAAATTTGATTACCATATAATTGGTTATTGCAACTTTAATCTTAATATACAGACTTTACTTTTAATGTTGTCAATTCATGGAATCATTCTTTCACACATTTTGTTCGGTATTTTGAACGGATTTCGAAGCGCACGATTTTTTCTCATTTCTAACTCGGTAAATGATCCAATTAAGGCAAAAAGATTTTTTTCCGATTTCAAGAAAAGAAACAAACACTTCAGCGTTATTATATTAGTATAGATATAAAACAAACATTTTGAATTCTATACAAGATGCAAAAGAATTCTAATTCTAGCGGGACATTCATTGAATCCTTAATAATTTTCTTAGATGTACTCATATATACATCATTAACATGACCATGTGATAAATATAATGATTTATATCCATTAAAATTGAATCTTCACTCATTTCAGAATGACAACGCATCGTACAGAAAATTCAGAAGAGACAGCGCAACTGCCGATCACACTGAGCGAAACGGTCGACCGGAATACAAACACACCCACTCTCGCTCAAACCCCACCCACACACACACACGCGCTAACATTGGACGAAACGGACGGACACAGGCCGTCCTCTTCGCACTCGTTAAACATAACTAGGGATCTATTGAGGCGGTCCTTTATGAAGACTGACTCGAGGAATCTAAGATCGAGTCTCAGGCGTAGTTTTAAGTACGGTATTAATAGTAGTACGTTGACAACGAGCCACGAACATTTGGTTCACGATGTGGAACCGATATCCAATACTGTCGCGATGTCCGCCATGTTGGGAGAACAGGAAGCTACGCATAATCGAAGTATCGCATCTGTGATATAGACAGCCGTTTCATTCGTCATGAGTGGGCGCGGCATTGATAATAAGCAACAGTACAATTTTCATGAATACTGCGATTTTAAACTAAATTTAGATAGCGGGTAGAAGTTGAAACGGCATCCACAGCGTTCCGTACGTTGCTCTAACCAAATGAGCTAATATGAGCTAATGTAATTTCAACCTTGATATGTAGGGACTACACGCAACGCTGACGTTGCCGGTTCAGCCCGAGAATTTTTTAAATTTATAATCGATTTTTAATTTATGTAGTGTGAGAAATGTTATCAAATGTTTTAGTTTTTCCTATACTTTTTTATAAAATTATAAATATAGAATTTCGCATTGAAATTCTAATGGAAACTTATACAACCAACCTTGGTGAAGAAATAATATATAATATAAAGGTATCCTATAATATTTTTATCATACATCACCTATATACAGACAGCGATTGGTGACATTTTTATTATAAGCTTTTTTTGACTCTAATACCCAATAATATCTACCATCATATATTTTCCTTATTTTTTATAATGTAATATGTACTTATTTTCATGAGTAACTTGGAGTTTTAAATAAGTTCTTATGTTTAGAAAGTTTTTGCTAGTATTACTGAAAAACTTATTCTAAATGTTGCATAATTGATCATTCACATTGAAGCAAGAATAATTTTTCATTTTTTTTTTAAAGCGGCAAGAAGCTATTATATGAAAAACTATGGAAAAATAATTAAGCGTTAGTTTTATAGAACGAAAGAAATTCTGTAATGTGCATAGTTTTGACTTAATCTGAATTTATCATGTTATTTTATGTACTTACATCACAATTTTAAACTGAATAATTTAATGTTAGTTTATAAGTTGTAGGGTTTACATTTTACTTGTTATCATGAGCGTATTCTGGAAAGTAATTTTTTTACCTAGGCTTTATTTGTTTATGAAGGGGCCTCCCTTGCCCCGCCCCCTCTGGGTACGCCCACAATTTTAATGTTAACTTTAAATAATTCAAAAGTGAATCTCAATAGTGAAGGCTGTTTCGTGTTAACATCTCATTTCATCCCCCTTGTAAAATGGAATGTGCTAAAGAGATACTAAAAGATAAGCCATACCTAGATATATAATACAAAAAGATAATAATTGAGAGCTTATATATCAACATAAGATTAGTTTTAAGCGCTAGGAATTTATACTAATAGTTTTAAAAAAAATATGCATAATGTTACTAGGAATATCACAATGTTTTTTTTGTATATTTTGGTTTAAATTAGAGATACTGAATGAATTGCAATATTTTTACGTATTGTTAGTGAAATAAGTACATTAATAGATATGTCACTGCCATGATACTATTACAAATAAAAACTATTGTGTTGCTGATATTTTAGAATAATGCGAATGAAATATTAATAGGAGCTTACAATAATTGAAATTAATGTTAGTAATTTGAAATCTATTTTAGATTGAATTCGATGAGGAAACGGCAGCACATTAGTAGGGTGGGGTCACGAGTTCGTAAGATTATATTCTATCTAAAATAGATTAATAATTAATATCAAATGTTAGTCACAAAAATAACGCTTAAAAACAAATCACTTTTATCGGTTTAAAACGCGAAATTAACGAACAAAAAGAGTTTTCAGAACCCCACCTGACCACGGCTGATGCAAAGCATCGAAAACGACGGGTCATGAAATATATAAATAAAATAAATTAAAAAGTAAGTTAGCTAATTCGCGTTTTAAAACGTCTAGTGTCTAAATGTTTTATCAACTGCAGACAATCTAAATATATCAAAACTTGTTAATAAGCTTTACTCTCTCACGTAAAAGAATAGTTGTGCTATGAACGCTATCAGTAAATGATTTGGTTCCTTCTTTGCATTTAATATTATCGTAGTTCTAGTCACGACACTGCTTCCACTAAAATTTGGTAACAATGCTGTATCCGTACTTCTCATCTCTTGTCTCTGTCACACCCATGGTTGTTCTTTTGTTTTATCACACGATTGTTTTAATTTTACATTCCATACTTATTTACAATGTACTTCGATAATAATAATGTTTTTTTTAATATATATATTTGTGTTTCATTTGAAGTGATCAGTGTTTCGGATATTGCTTGAATAAAAAAATGTGTTTTACGGCGTTGATCCCACAGGTTACATAATCAACTAGTCGTGTGTTGCAACAAAGTCCTATTTTGCAAAAATAAATTTATGAATTTTCAGAAACGTCCCTTTTCAAAAAAAGTCTAGATAAAGGGGGGATGGGAATACCAAAATCACCGTGCATAGATTCAAAAGCCGTGATTTCCGAATATCCAAAGCCAAGATAAGTCGAGAGAATTTGGGGCTTACGATCGAGCGAACTACATGGTTGTCCGTTTATAAAATAACGCTAACGTTTTGATGATTAGCGAAGTCTCTGAAATTTGTGATACTTAAGTAAAATTTGATGGAAATACCTTTATTAATAATTAAAAAGTGACATTACATAATTCAAAATATTATAACGTAATTCTTAATTCATAAACAATTAGATCTACGAAAAGCAAAAAACAACGAAGCCGAGGTAATGAAATGCAAGAATAACGTGTTAATGAAATAAAAGATTAGATTACAAGAAGGGAAAATAATTATTAGACATCGTGATACATTTTACGACCTCAACTTCAAGAAAGTCAAAAATTAAAGTCTCGGAAAATATATTCACGAAATGGCACAAACAAAATGACGTTCGCACTGAGCGACACAACGCAAAAACCTTAGTTTTATAGAATACTACATATATTAGATCGAAAAATACGTTTTATATTTTTGGAATATATTGTCAATGAAATGGTCGACAATACTAAACAGAAAACGAGACGTGTGTCTCTGTGTGTCTGTGATATCTAGAACAAAATGACGTCAACAAATTGATTTGACTGTACATCCATATATGAATTGCGTTATTGCTAAAAAAATCGATGGGTTTGTCACAATACCAAGAAATGTACTTCAGACATAGTCATTACTGTTCTCTTGAAATTTCTCTCGATCGCTATTGGTCGAAATGACTTGATTTTTCGACCGATCAGCAAGCGCGTCTTGAAATTAATACCACGCCCGGGTTAAATACAAAACCCACGTTAAGTTATGTAACAGTAAAAATTAATTCCTATATCACAAATCATCAGTCAGTCAATTAATTGTTCTAGTTTAAATTATCTTATCAACGAGTTCATGTTGAGAAGTGACTTGGCGGCTCTGGCGTCAACCGACTCTTTCTTTTTCGTTGGATCCAGCATGAAGGCCTTCCACAGTCTGAAACATTGTATTTAATTATAAGTTCTTGACTAGATCACGACTATGTGAGCCCCTCCTGGCGCCAAAGTTGGATCCGCCCTTGATCATTTTTGAATTACAAATCTATCACAGATTCAAAAACAAGGCTTACTGTCATTTGACACAGTAATATATTTTAGTACAGCTACTTTCTTTCTATATATATTGTACTATAAAATAACCAATATAAAGTTAAATACGGTCAATATAAAGTTTCGAAAAGATTATCCTTCAACAAACCTTAAGGTCTCATCCGCACCCGCAGATAGAACAGTGGTACCATCTGGAGACAGCGAGAGATGTAGAACACGAGCCACGTGCCCGGTCAGTTCTGCAACTCGCGCCATAGTAGGGTATTTCCATATCACGAGCTGGTTGTTCGCGTAACCGTGCCCAGACATCAACTCTTTGTAGTGTGTACTCCACACAATTGAACACACCTGAATAACATGAGAAGAGAAATTTAGCTCACAACATAATCTGAGTAGTGGAAAGGAGGTATAAATGTAAATTAAGTTGGGTTTTTTATATATAAAAACCAATATACAATATTAAAAACATATTTTTCTAAACCATTGTGACAATTTTTCTTATCGTAATATTATCTATTTTAACAAACTTAAAATTAACAATTTAAAAAAGCGAACAATCTGAAAGTATTGACTAATAAATATACTACCTAGCCTAATAAACTAGAAAGGTAGATCTTTCTACCTTTAAGTTTATCTTTGTGGCATCTCAACCTTTCTCTTTAAGAAGAAAAAATATTTAAAATCCTTCTTGAAGTGCAGTACATAACTCACTCGTACTTTATTTAATACGAGCCAAAATATTGCCAAAGAAAGTACCTGTGATTTTGTGTCAACGGAAGCGAGGTTAGCGCCAGTATTCACGTTCCAAATGCGTATCGTCCTATCAGCAGTGCCACCCCCAGATGCCAGTATACCATTACTCCAAGGGCACCAGGCTAATCCCTTCACCGCAGCCAGATGATTGCTGTTAAATAATTTCTTCATTAGCAATAATATTGGACTAGTAAATAAGATGGAAGTATATGAGGATTAAAGACAAATTAAAATAAATGTCTAGGTCTAAAAAATCGTATAAAAACATATTTACATAGAAAAAATCAATGACATGGGTGGGACTTGAGCAAGATCCACAATTTGCGCTTCTGCTCTAACCAATTGAGCTCTGACATGGAACCTCAATACCCTAGTGTTAAGGCGGAAATTACGGTTTACGGTTTGTAGAAGTCTGATGAGTCTCTATGTCCACATAGAGACTTGTATTAATTAGCTAATCTTTTATCTCTCCAGTATAATGCAATACCCTGCATTCAAAACCAAGGAAAGATTACTTGTCAATTATTGACTTTCATAGAAAGAGCAGCCGTGGTCACGGGGAGACGGCTGCTGCAAAGCATCCGAAACGTCGGACCGAAGTTAAAAATAATTTAAAAAAAGTTTTAACTAATATATCGCGTTTTAAACCGTTAAAGTGTTTTATTTAAACGTGTACTACTCGCGTAAAGTATAGCCAGTATTTAACTAATAACTTACCTGAAGGAGTATAAGAATTGGGGCTGGCTGTAATGTTGTCCTTGTGCGGCTGGCCAAATGTTCAGTTGGTTGTCATTACCACCCGATGCTAAGTGTTTACCATCCGGTGACCATTTCAGGTTGCAAATCTGAATACCACAGTTAATTATTTTAGTTTTGGCATGACCATTACATTAATAGTTTATGTGGTTATACTGTCTATCATATTGTAGATGCAAAAATTTGTCTATTTTGAACTGTCATTGTGTATTTGTTATTGGCAAAACAAGACTTGATATAATTGAAATATAATAATATCAAATGTATTAAAATCAGAATACCAAACAAGTCTGTTAATGAATTTTTTTGGATCTTTAATTCGCATTTTAGTTAACTAAATTAAATTGTAACATTATAGGCAACATATTTCTTTTCCTGTGACATGTTGGGGGGTTTGGATAACTGGATAATAAAGATGACAGGAATATCGAAATTCCTTCCAGGGTAGTCGAATACTCTCGTCCTAGAATGGAATGGCTTACCTCTTGGGTGTGCGCATTGATAGTGGCGATGTTGTGATCGCGTTGGCGTACGTCGTGATGGACTATGTTTCCATCTCGCGAACCGCTCGAAATTACATAAAGGTTCCAAGATAATGAACCAACACGGGCTGTGTGACCATCCATTACCTAAATAATATACACAGTGCTTAGAGGAAAATATATAAAATGATGCTCTTACCTAAATTATTTTATATGTAACTATTAAATGTATGTATTAATATTAGTATATTTATTGGGATATTTGGTATGCAGTATGCTTGTCAGCACACCACTCAATTCACTTTTAAAAACATACATATTTTGAAAAAAAAATAATAATATCGCGAATTCCGATATCGTGGGTAAATAAATTTATTGACTGATACACTTAACAGTTTAACACAATATGCATTAACATACCCTCAATCTCTTCATCTTCTCACAATCCCAGAGTTCAACAGTACCAGTTGTGGTACCGACAGCCAAATGCGATCCACCACCCTGTACCCAAGAGACAGAACACACAGGATCTGACCCCTCTAAGCTTAATAGCTGCTCAATTTGTCCTGTTCCTGCATTCCATAAGTATACAGCATTTCCGAGAGCCACAGCCAAGATATTTGATGCACTCCAGTCAATTATATTTAGATCTATGGGACAGAAACATAGCACTTTTAAACATCCCTATGCATTTCTTATTCTCACTTCATAATTTAGACATTTTTATCAATTATAGCTTTTTTAACTAGGTAATCTTATAAAAGTGAAATTTCTACATGGGAGTTTAGGGCTGCTATATTACAGTTATTATTTAAATTTTATTTACAGAAAAGTAATTGATTGAATTTTTGTATCCTCAACAACCCAAGTGATTAAAAGGTTGGTAAATTAAGAATTATATATTTTATTCAAATCTCTGAGACTTTAGCAGGATCTCTCATACAAAGAGACTTACAATAGTCATCTACAATGTCAGGTGCATCTAGAATTCTGTCTGGAGTGTGGGGTATGTAGCGAGTTGAATTTTTAACACTTGATGGTACTTTAGCCTGAAAATAAAAGTTCTTAGGTAAAAATAGTATTTGAAAACAACAAAATGCATCAAGGAAGAAAATCTTAGCTTACTTCTTATAATCACAAAAATTTACTCATATCTTAAGATATGGACTATTTAATACTACTCTTATCATTATTAAAAATCAAAGAAGCAAAGGAAACCTAGAGGTTGTGAGGTGATATATAAGAGCTTTTCTAATAAATAGGATTTGCTGAACACCTTTATTCTTTTCACCATAACCCAAGCTAATACACCTATATGGAACATACTTGTGAATATACAACTCTAAGTCGATTCTGGTATCCCTCAGGTGCAGCTGGGGCCTTGCAAGTGTATTGTAGCAGCCGGCCTGGCTCAATATCTGCCAAAGCCTTTCCAATAGCCTCTCCAGTGGCTGACGGTTCTTCATTTTTATCTTCCTCACGTGTCATCTATAATGTATTATTTATATCAGCAAGTGAAATATTGTTTGGCAAAAGACATGTTTTGTTTATAATAATGCTAGTCTCAGCAAATACTAAGATAGTTAATACTGGATTTCAAGCTACTTTCAATTAAAGTAGTTGTAGTATTTTTTTAATTCTTGGTATTATTCTTCTGTTAAATATTTAAGTACTTACCATATAATGACATAGTTCATAATTAGTGTTACACCTTGAAGGAATAAATCGGTCAGCTTTGTTTGGAGTTTTCGATGCTTTGTTAGGTGTTGGAGTTGTAGAGCGGCCTATAAGATATTGCATTAACATTTTATAACAGAAAACGAACACAAAAGAAAGGAAGTTTTTTAATGCATTACCTGGCGACTTATTCTTCGATGGCGTCTTTTTGCTTTTCCTAGACTCAAGTCGCGTTGGTGTTTTGTTTGTCGAGAGAATACTATTGTTGCAGCTCTGGTTTGATACTGAAAGTTTCTGCATCGACTGATTGACACCGCTCATATTTGCATTCGACACATTTTTTAATGAATTACTTAGGGACGGGTTTATATTTTCACTACCGCTTTTCTTTACCCAGCGCTGAAGCGGTCCGCGGGTAATAGGACCGTCTAGCGTCGCTAAACTATTTAATTCATTGAGATAATTGAATTGTGCCATTATCTTCGCGCACAGACGAACTTTGAAGTCACTGATTAAAAATATATTATGTCGTTAGTTATATGCAGATACTTTAGTAAAAGGAACAAGCATAAGGCACTTCCAAAATTCCCTAAATCAAGAGGAAAAGAACAAATCGAAACGCGAAGATGATTTAATGGAAATATGAAGTAAATACATGCAACGGCAAGTTTGTAAAACTTAAAAAAGCATGGCCGTTAAATTTTAAATTCGGATATTTTGACATTACGCAGTTATATGTCAACGCAGAGGAACCACACAGATAATGTAATTCTCTATTACAGTGGCTATAGTAATAGACACATTAATAAACAAAATTGTTCGAAATATTATTTTATTCTTATGTGAAATAGAAAATAAACAGTAAAATAAAATAAGTGACATCTGTAAAAAACTTAAACTAAACGACTATTCAACCATATTATCAATGCATTTATTTATGCTAAGTTGTTTTATGTTTATTGACTAACAAAATGTACGAAATGTTATTAATAAATAAGTCAATAAACATAAATTCTCTCATAGACAAAATATTACTTATATAATTATGTATCGTATATACAAGTATTGGTTCTATACTATAGTGATTATAAGCACTTGGTAAATGATTTATAGATCGCATCAGTACTTTTGCACATTGAACCATTCGATTTAGTATTACTTAAATTTATTTAAGTCACTTCCACTTCCGTTTGTAAATTATTATAAGAAAAATGCACTCATTATGCAAGAAAATAAAACAAAATAAGGATAAAAAGTTTATTCATTAATGTAAAGAATTGTTCACAAAAATAATATATGTAGGTACTAATTTTTCAAAAAAATGTAACCATTCTCGATAATTATAAAATCATAAATCATTAATTATAACTACAATAAAGAAAAATAACGTAATAAAAATCATTAAAAATGTTGAAAGAATGATTTAAGGATATTGTCAGATAAAGTCACATAACTTATAAAGATCCTTTGAGATACAACTTAGGAACAGAAAAAAATGCAATCATTGAGCATTATTCATTACTTAATAATTAGACTATACAACAATCTCTGTTAATATAAAATTGGGATAAACTTCGATCACTGCTAGCACCATCAATTATTTTCCTTACATCAGATTTAAATCTCACCTTTAACCTTATATTAATTATAAAAAATATATTTACACTATGATAATTCATAATACCAAAATGGCACAGTTACTATTGGCATTTTCTCATCTGGCAGCTATTAAAATTGTCTGGGACGGTCTCGAGGCAGTGAATTATTGCTTTTACAAATTTGTTCTGAGGTAAAATATTTCTAAAATTCATTTGACGAAGCATTTCCAAAACCTAACATGAGATTATTATTACTGGTGGGATAAAAATTATTTTTAGCTTATATATTACATTATGTTGAGATATAATCCTTGACAAGCACAGTGAGAATAAAATCAGTTGGTACAAAATTGATAAAAACTGTAGAAACGCTGAATATCTCGGCATATTATTTAAACTTAAGTAAGTTAAGTATACGATAAGTTAAAGATACTAGAAAAAAGGTTAAAAATGTACCAAGTATTGACTTATGAATACTATACCGAAACTATGTGTTAGAAATGTTTGGAAGACATAGATAAGATATTTTTAAATTTTTATGTAAACATTTAGTTGGAATGTAAACTATTTATAAACGTAGTTCGATGATTCTTATAAATAATTAAAGTAAACTATAACTAACAAAATGCCTTCGTACGTGTTCGTTGCAAGAAGCCACAGTCGAGAAAAAAATTTACTAAATTACGATACTTATACAAAACATTAACTATTCCCCGATGATTTTCTTACTGAGATCAGAGAGCACGTTCTTTCTATGAAACCTCGATCTAAAATTATTAAATAAATGTGTAAATTATCATAACTATTTGTTCAAATTTTACGTATTTAAATTATTAACTAAAAAAAATTTAATATTAGAATTTAAATTAGCTTAACAAAAGATCGTTAGCTAATACTCTTTTTGTTTGTTTGTTTAAAGTTTTGTGGTGTGACAGAGTGTGACGAATATTATAAAAATAATTTTAAATTCTACAGATTTCCATAACTTTGTGCGTAATATAAACGTTATAAGTTTGTTTTACGATCATTTTCTATAACTCATTATACTCGTAAAGACGACATTGCCAATTGACCCTCAAGAGAACGTTTCTGGGGGGTATATCTTCGAATTCATTTGAATTTATGGCGTATGCGCATCCATTAGCGTCATAATGTGGATATGCCCAGGGTTGTCAACTGTGACGAAACAGGAGAATTTTTCATCATGGCGAAGTGTCTTTGCATACATTCCGGAAAGTTTGACGCACGCCAGGATCTCTTTGCGTTTTGATCCTTCTTGACAACTAAAAAAATTAAAACTGTCTGTACTTTACGCAAGTAGTACACATTTAAATAAAACACTTAACGGTTTAAAACTCTATATACATATATTAATGAAACTTAATAAGAAATTATTTCAACTATGGCCCGACGTTTCCGATGCTTTGCAGCAGCCGTGATCATGGAGTGACTTTATTACCAAATAAGTTAAACTAATATATATCGCTTCTCAAATCGTTAAAGTGTTTTATTTAAATTAAAACATTTTATTGTAAGGGAAAATAATTATAATATTTTAATTATGTATAGCTTTTTCTAATGAATAGAAAAAAAATTAAACTGTTTTTCCCATGTCTACAAAATTAAAATAAAACTTTCTTAACATATCTATATTTCTGAATTCTTAGTGAATCTTAGCATTAAGATAATATTTGTACAGGAAAAAGATCTTTCATGAAATAAAGCACTCACGTCTTTCGCTTCCAATGCTGTTTCCAGTGAAAGTACGGACTGAAAGGATTGTTGCCGAAGAAAAAGTTGTTGTTGGGGCTGCTCTCGTTTGAAAAGCTCTCGCTCTTGGAGTCGAGGGGACTAGCCACCGGGGTCACAACGTTCCAACCGCTCCTAAAATATATATATATTTTTTTAACTTAATATCGGGGCGTCAAACTTGTATAGGCACAGGACCTGACTAAAATTTTTCGCGACCAGTATCGAAACATAACTTGTAGACCACCTATACAATTTGTTTAAAGCCAACATAATGTAATATCGTCAAAAATAGTTTTGAGGTTAGAATCAATAAATAAGTTTAATTACTTAAACTGCAGAGCTTATTCATTAAGTATATAAATACAAATATGTACGTAAAAAGCAGAATAAGTTTATGGGAGGGTAAATTAAACAGGTTTTTAATCCCAGTACGTATCCAAGCAATGGCAAAAACAACTGTCAGTCATAATAAATCGTGTAAGGTTTTCATCGATTTTTGGGCTGTTCGGCCCACGTAAGCGAGACGAGGTTTTCGACGTCTCGCCATCACGAGCGGACAGCATCATCAGGAGATGTTAGCTCCTCGGTTGCTTGAAGAATTAATTATTAATTTCTTTCTTTCTTGCTCATTACATATAAAAAGCAAAAAAAAAAAACAATAGATAATCGATACTTCTAACGATACTTTCTAATCAAACAGATATCATATTTAGATAAAAACCAGATTTTTTATGGCTTTCTATATCATATACTCATGAGTTATTATTAATATTTCCTAGATATACCAAATATCTGGTTAGGTACGATTTGACGATTGCTCTTATTTTTAAAATACCACCCTTTACGTGAAATTATATTTGAATAAGTACCCCTTAATTAAAGGCATAAACTATCCTCATATAAAGCTAATCTTAAATTTACTTGTCTAATAAAAAATACTAACTTGAAGCCCCTACTCCTCATTCTAATGACGTAACTGATGTTCCACCAGACGATCTCGCTGGCCATTGTCACCAGAACGAGAGGAGGTTGCTCATCATCCTCAATGTAGAATGAACCATGAACTGAAGGCGAGTGACAGGAACCACTGCGGTACAACCTCTCCGGAGAGGGGGAGAAACCGCACCATTGCACCTTGCTCTTGTGGTGTTTAAGGAGACGTAGTTGTCGCTTGTTTGGGACGTTCCATATCTATAATAAAATTTGTAATCTGAGACATACAATTAAAAAATTACGTTATTAAATGTATATTTGTGTTTGTGTGTGATGTGTGAAATTCCTATAATTTTCTCTAAATTTTTAAATATCTTTAAATATAAAATATTTCTTTCTCTCTAAATACATGCCTATTTTACTTTGTTATCAGCACAGTACTCCCAATATAACATTAATAATAAATTGCTAGAAAAGCAAATAGGTCTATGAAAAAGTCAATAAATGCACAACTGTCTCTTTGACTTATTTCCTCACGTAAGTTACCGGATGTCTTTTTACAGATATTTAAATGAAAAATAAATATTGAAGAAAACTTCAATACTCACAGCTACGTCACCAGAATCCAGGCCCATGGCGAGTACGTGCCCGTCAGCGGTGAGTGCGCAGCAGTTGACCCGGTTGTTCAATTTGCTCTCTTGTATCACTTGCAGGGACACGTTATCGCGTTGCTTCAATTCGAACGTCTGAAAGACAGATGTAGAAAGATCTATCAGAATGACTTTGGATATTCGGAAATGCACAGATTGAAACTGAAACGCAATTAAACTTGACGGCTTTTTTTCACCAACGAGCCCGTCAGCGTAAAAATAGCCAAAAGGTATTCATACATTACTATAGTATCTTAGCTATAAGCCGGCAAATTCTTCTTGGAAAAAATGTAGGCAAGACCTACATACAATATTAAGACACATACCTGAAACGCCATGTTATAGTCATCGCATATAACGAGAACGTTATTCTTCATAGCCGAGCACTTTATGAAGACATCAGTTTGCCGTCCATTCAGTACGCTGATCAATTTTAAGTTCTCGTCCCAAAGCTTTATAGTCGCATTTGACTCGATAACGATAAGACCGATTCCCTTGACCCAATAGCAGTCTACTAAATTGCTGGGCTTGCAGAGTAGTTCCCTGTTTTCACCGTTAGGGAAGAGTCGTGACGTCATACTGAGTTCACTGCTTGAATTTGAAATCTGGTCGCCTTGGTATTTCTTCTTAAGGCCTGTTTTAAATTAGATTATGAATTTTTTAATCAAAAATAAGTTAAAACGATATTACTTAATTTAAATTGAACTTTGGATTAATTAATGTGATCCTTCGAGCCGGATATGATATCGGATAATTATTTTATGAAATCCTCATTTTCATGATGTCTTCAATATATTATGACAAATAGGTTGTTTGCCCTAATATTGCTTACCTTGGAAATCGTTTAGTAATTCTTGCGAACCCAAGTTACAATTTCCTCTTTGGAGCATTTCTGGTTTCCAATCTCCGTTATCCGTCAATTTATAGGCCATAACACAACGGTTCTTTCCTGCCACTATCAACAGACGCTCGCTAACAAAGGCCATATACTGTACAGAGCTGTATACATCCATAATATCCCTGTTTTCCTTGCTTCGTAGAGAGTATTTTCGTACTATGCCCGACTCTAGACCATATATAATGTGCTGGTTGCATGGTGATATTCTGACCATGGTTATCAGCTCTGCTGAATCTGTAGGTATTTCTGTTAATAATTTTCTTCCGCGCATCACCTGGATTCATAATAGAGTTATTATTTATGACGATTATCTGCATATCTGACGAATTTGGTTCGTTTAAAAATAATTGATTAAGCATTTGAACTTTCTAATCTAACAAAAAATTTAGTTGTTTTTTAATATTGCTTTTATTTTCATTGTCGTTATTAAAAATTTATAAGCTAGACAAAAATGCTAATGGATATCACATTACTTGTGCATTAAGGTAAGATGAGAGACATTAGAAACACATTCCAAAAACATGCAGACGTTAAGTGATTTAGTAATATACCTGAATGTGATTCTTATCATCGACCACGGCCAATAAGGGCGTATGCACACTGTCACTAGCACCATTGCAGATTCCCTTCAAGTTCAACGGTTTCAAGGAATGTCTGTCGAGACTCATAGTAGACTTGACAACCCTTTTCACCACCTCTTTAGGATTGACGAAGGATTGGTGCCTCTGTGGGGTTGTGTGGGTGCTTTGTGGGGAACTAGTCGAGCCCGGGGGTGTATGTGGGGTGCTAGTGTTTATGAAACTCGCGTCGAACTTTGTTGTTAGCCGGACTTTGCTGGAAGAATTTGTTAATGGGTTCTACATGATACTTATTAAGTACAATTGTTTTTGTTAATTTCTATCTACAGCTAGGACTGACTTTTAAAGGAATAATACAAAAGAAATGGAATTGTCAGATATGTGGTATTTTATGTACTATAAACCCTTATTTAAATATTAACTATTAAAACAATTGTTAAAAAACAAAACTAGTCGAATATCCTATACAGACCTATTGTTAGTAAATTAATTTTAAAAGTAAATATTAACATGGTTCTAATGCTTAACTATGTAGGTTTATTTACAAACATTATTGTAATGGATACCTCTGGTGGAAACAAATAAGTAAATAAAATTAACTCACCCATTCTTATGTGAATTCTGCGAAACATACGTCGGGTCGAGGAACCAGACTTTCAATGAATTTTCTATAGTTCCCGTTCCAGTTAGAAGCACATCAGAACCGGGTTCAAAATCGTCCATCAAGATCTCACTCATTGCCATTGTTACTACATTTCTGAGGACATTTTGATAAGTAAATGTTCTTAAATATAGTATGACAGAGGAAACCTATTTTAACATAACGTTTTTAATGAATAAGATTGGGTTTTTTGAAAAGCATGCAGTAAGTCTCCCAAAATTAATTAAACAATGTTTATATATGTACAGACGTTAAGTCTATTATATTCAGAAAGTCAAAGATTTTAAGTACGAGGGTTTAATTGAAACTTTAGCCAAGATAAGGTACATACCCCCTTCGGTTTTCCAAATCAAAGATATACGCTGTGGTCTTCAAATCCACACAGATTATCCTACTGTCGTCTGTAGACACGAACAATAGAGTTCCAGTCTTGTTCACGGCCATAGACAAGAATGATATATTCTCTTTAACGCTATCAGCTTTGAGTATCGTTCTACGCTTACAGTTGGTACATGTTTGTTTGATGTAGGTACTGAGTTTACAGTCAAACTCGCAGATTTCCTTGTCTTTCAATGTTATTATTTTGTTGTTTTCTAAAATCAATAGAATAGTTTGATGAAATTCCTAAAAGAATAATCAATAAAATCTCGAACATAATTGATCTATGTCTAGACTTAACTAAGAAAGTGCAAAGGATCGATGCTTTGCAATGCTCCTAATAGAATAGGGGTATAAGAAACAGACTTTTATGAAATCAAAAAACGAAAAAAGACTTATGAAAAATGTTCGGTATTGTTTTATTAGAATCTTTATAAAAATATCTGTTTCATCAACCAGGTTAAGATCTAGAGTTCGATGGTCTAGTGATATTAATATACTGTGGTGCTAATGACGTACATAATTTTTAAAATTAACTATTTTCATTACGGAAATTTTATAACCAGGAATATTCTAAATTCACTTTAATATTTAACTATAAGTAACGAAACCAATAATAAAAATGTATTACCTGGCACAGTCAATATATCCAGAACAATATCAGTTTCCTCGAAGCAATATTTAGTCCTGGTCTTTAGATCGATCACATCCAAACTGTGGGTACTATTTGCGCTTGCGACGATCGCGTGTTTATCAAAGTTACACGGCACGCAGCACAGAATATCTCTGTCTCTATACAAATTGTCTATGATCTGTGCCACGTCACCGTTCGGCTTGTAAATGACGATCATTGTGGATGTGTGCGTGAATATTAGTTCGTCTGTGTTCGCCCATCGACAGGAGAGGAATGGGCCCCGTTTGGGCGGTATTGTTACGTTCGTGGCATAATTGTTGTTAAGGGGCTCTTCGTTTTCTGAAAGAAAAGATTAATTGAAAACATATTTACTACTCGCTTCACTATACATTAATTATATTTAAATAACTATTTATACTTTGTATATCATGTCATTCTATAAATTAAACATCTGTTTAGATTTAAAAAAAATCAGACATTATGACGGGACTTTAACTTCTAATTTAGGATGCAGCGTTGCCAATAGATTAACATTTTTACGTTGGTGACGTGTGAGACACGTTGGTAGGTTTGAGCACCAGCATTCTGTGGATGCCGGCTCAAGTCATACCTGTGCGGTAGTTTTTTTTATTTAATAATGTTTAATTGTATAGTGCCATCATGTGCAATAAAGTTTTTAAGTAAGACTATCCAATAAAACATACCGAATATCCGGAGCCAATATAGATCGACGACGCATCTTGTGTAGATTGTATATGGTTGGGGTATTCTACCTCCCATCAAGTAAAGCCCTGCATGAAAGCATTTCATTTCAAATTACGGTAAACATTACCTTCTTCAATGATGTCGTCTGTCTGTTCATGTTCCAGGTCGTCAATGTACCAGAGCCTCAGGACTCCATCACAGGATAGAGACGCGACGCGCGGTGGACTGACAGGACTTACCCCGACCCACTTAATGCTGGCTTCGCCGCAGTTCAACTCCTTCTTCAGTTTGTTCGTTGATATTTGGAAAAACTGTAATGAAAAAAAATGTGATATTTTTTTTCATAAATCGGATAATGTTTAAAAGCATTTAAGTTTTAATTACCTTAATAGTACCACAAATAGTGCCCACGACAACATAATCTCCCAGAAAACATACGGTGGTGATCATTTCCTTTGCGTCTATCGTCGAGTGTTTTATTTCTTCGACGTTCTGTTCGTGGCTGAAATTATATTAAGATGAACTTTCATACTTTAATTGAAATCTCAATCATCTTTCTTATAGAAGAATAGATAATATGATAATCTTGTATTTGACTTTACATCTATAAAAATGAGAAGGACAACAACTTCAAGATCGTATTCAGTATAATTATGTTACTCACAGAAAGTCAAAATATAGTTCGTTCAAAGCGCAGCGCCGCTGAGAAATTTCAAATGCTTTAGTATATAACACGCCCTTTGATTCGTGTTGAAGAACACTCTGTATAATGTCAGTGCTTGGATAGCGGTACAGGTCCGTTCCGTGTGTGCTAAGGTATGACTTGATGTTGTAAAGTAATTCTCGATCCAATTCCTGTAAGTAAGTTAAACGAAAATGTTAGTAAGCGTTTGATTTTCTTTAATTACCTTCATTAACTTAAGGCACTAACAAAACTCTAATTATAAGCAACATATTAATACAAAAATGTTAAGCGCTGTATAACTTACCACAAGAACAATATAATTTTCATATTTTTGTAAATCCAAAATAACATCAGCCGGTCCGGTCAACCTAACCTTGTTACCCAAAAACTTCAGGTCCAAAAATATTTTTTCAAACAGACTCCATCTGTTGTTCAAATTTTGCGTATGATATAAATGATATCCAATATAGTAAGCTATGTAACCATCATCTTCGATCTCAACTGGCGCATTGTTTGTGTCATATTTATAATTTTTCAAGAAGTCGCAGTGTATCTTCCTCACTTCATCTTCGTTTCGTATTGTTCTTAGATAATTCATTATTAAATCGTGTATTTCATAGATATAGTTCCTCTTTTCTTGGTCGTAGCATTCAATTATAAGTGATTTACTACGCAGTTGCTTCATTATACTTTCAACATTTGTGACGTCTTTGTTCCATAGTTTACTGAGCACCCTAGCTGTGACTTTAGCGTTGTCAGGTAAAATAGTAAGCATTTTGAATAGTGGTAATATGTCTGATTTTAATGAATTAATACACATCTCTATGGTTTTCATTGGTTTGTCATTTTGTCTAGATAAACTGAAAAAAAACGATAAACTAAGTTTGTTAATAAAGGTCCAACTAAGAGACATCCCAGAGGAATGACCGTGTTGCAATGTATTTCTTATGATATTTTTTAACGTATATAATGTATCCATTATTAGCTCCGTGATACGAAAAAAAACAAATGTTCAGGGATTTCTAAAGAAATGATTAGAGGTAATTATATAGTTATATCAATAGAATCAAATGCTTACAAAAAATACTCCTTCTTTTCCAGTTTGTTCAAATAATAATTCCAATGTCTGGTATCATGTACCAATCTCTCCTTGTTTTCGGCTAACTCAGCGCCAATTAGGGCAATGTGGAAAGGGCTTCCCTTGCAGATTTCGTGGAGACGCTTCGCTTGACGCGGTAACACAGACACTGAGACATCTACACACGATGCTAATAAGGATAAAGATTCTTCTTCAGTGAAATGGTTCTCAACCTGTAAAATAATGACATATATAAAATAATATGTTACAAGATATATATACATTACAGTATTCTTTACATTAGCGTAATCCAGATTATAGCAGATGAGAGAGAGTGTGATTCGGTTTAATAATAAAAATACATTAAGAAGACCTTCACATTTACATGATTAAGAATTATGTGTATATACTTTCTTGTTAACAACCTAAAAACTCACCTTCACGATGAGAGGATGAAAATTAACTATAACATCAGTGTCTCTCGTTGTCACCAATATCTTGCAGCCAATATCGAATGCTTCCAAGCAATTCTTCTCATTCACTTCATCCAACACGAGTAGAGATTCCTTTAGGGCTTGTTCCGAAAAAAGGGTCTTCAGTCTATCCCTCAATTCCTGCCAAGTCCAGTCATAGCTCGATAAGGAATCGGCATTAGAACCGATACTAGACATAGATATGGATGAATTCATGTACGAGTTGTGGTTACATAATGATGACGCTTTGCGGTATAACCTACAAATATAAAAGCGTCAGTAACTGGTTTTCATCATATCACTATAAAATACACATCAATAGAAATGATTAATACATTTACCAATGACTTTTTTTTTATTTCGCGTTGTAAAACAATGAACTGAGATTTTGGGTATGTATAAAAATCTGCTTTGTTGATGGCCGGGGTTCGATTAATCTAGAGTTAGGCGAAATGTTCCCTTAGTATTAGGACTTCATGGAGTCTACTAATGTTGTGAAGTAATTTTATGGCGATAAATGAAAACCCTGTCAAAACACAGGGGACCAAAAGGGTGCAGCCATCTCTACGATGAGAAAGTACATGAGTGCTTAGAATTGGTAGGACACAAACAGGGTGGAACAAATAGTGTGTAAAAAGATCTTACTTATTCTGCTGTGCAATGATATCATCTTCAGTCTTGCAATTTCCTAGATTACGCCAAAACACGACACCGTTGAAGTTGTTAGTAACTAATTCTGGGTTGTTTCTAAGTACGCTGATGGCAACACTGGTCTTGCCAGAACCAGACATCCCGTGCAGTGCTAGGATTTTGTGGCGCGTCAGCGATTTTAACTTGTTCGCTACATCTTGCTCCTAAAATGAGAATAAATGGAAAAATAATTACTAATTCTTAAAAAAGGAAATTTTTGCAGTTATTTTAAAAAAAAATGCACCTTCTTTTTACTATTTTAAATACAAGTAATGTTTTGGAATTTGTTCACTATAAAAAAATTCGTGTTTTGATCAAAAGAATTGTAAACGTTACCCGTTACTTATCATACACTAGCTGTGCCAGCGACTTCGTCCGCAAGAAACGTTATTTTTTGCTAAATTCGTTATTGCATACCCCTTCATCTTTATAAACTTAAGCTGTTACTTACGACGTAGGTCTTCCCGTTGCCCTTGGAACTCAAAAAGAATTTTTCAATTCGAACCAGTAGTTCCTGAGATTAGCGCGTTTAAAAAAAAACAAACTCTTCACCTTTATATATATGTATAGATTACGATGTACTAAAATGTAAACAATATTATTAAGTTAAAATGTAGAATGCTCACCAGCGCCAATCTCCTAACGAAGTGGTCAGGGAGTCGTGGAACATCACCACGGCTAATGCTGTCTTCGAAACTATCTTCAATCATCGCTTTGTTGTTCCCCAGCGCTAGTTTCTCCCACAGCCACTTATAGTCCTTCACCAGGCTGTCTACAAACACCTCGTATGCGTTGTTGTTCCCATTCTGAATGATCGTCTCCAGAAGATATCTGACCCTTTCTGCTCTGTCGTTCTGAAATAAGCAGATACATACTAGATATAATAGGCAGTGGAGTTTTTATAGACATTTTAAAACTGAATGTATTTAGATTAAGTAAACAGATTGCTGTTACAGGTAATGCTATGACTAAGTTGGTTACAGATTAAAAATCGAAAATAAATTGAAAAAAAAAATTACGACTCGGAGCGGACTTGAACCGGCATCCATAACGTCCATATTGTTGCTCTAACCAATTAAGCTACCGTGCCCGCTCGGAGTCGTAAAAAATTTTCAATTTATAATCGATTTATAATGTAAAAACATAACAAAATGTAAAGAATACTAAAGTTTTTGGTTACAGATGCTATATTTTACAATATATTTTAGATTGCTTTCTCTATGAATAATAAATGATTTGAGGACATTGTAGTATCTATCGTCCATCGTCATCGAGGCAAATCCTCCTACTCACCAGCTTATAAATATGATCGAAATCTTCGCTGGTGATCGCCTGTTTCGTGAACAGTTCATCCAATATGTACGTGACGTCTAAATCCTTCACGATTTCATGCTGATTGTGTTGCAACAACATCCGGTTCCTGGTATCCATTCTGTCTGTCTGTCAGTCATCTGTAATTGCATTCGATATTACACTAATCTGTTGAACAATAAACATGTTTAGATGAATTGGGCACTTCCTATTTCCCACTGAATCAAATTTATGAGAATGAAATATACTTAACACATTAACAAGCATATTGAGGCTGTCCATGTATTTATATGGCTATCTAGATAATTTCATGGATCTAGATTAATTAATGTGAAATAGTGTCTGTAGTTTACGAAAGTAGAACACATTTAAATAAAACACATTTCATATTTTAAAACGCGAAATATATTAGTTAAACTTATTAAAACGACCCTTCGTGACCACGCCAGCTTCAATCAGGCATAACAAATGATTAATTGATTCTAAACTCTGTCATTACTTCATCTAATATAATAATACCATTTATTACTAAAAGTAAAGTAGTGGATTCAATAATTATTAATTATTTTAGGAAGTCATTAAGTCAATAAATACAGTTAATAACGAAAACATCCACCTAATTAGTTGAGGGCACCTTCAAACAAAATTGCCTTTGATGAGTTATTGAGGAGATACTCATTCTAATTGTTGTTTTCAACTTTATGAATTTGGAGTAACCTTTCTTGAAACTTGATGAAATTATATTGAATATGTTTTACTCGAGAATAAGAGTGATTTCTTTGATTATTTGTAGTGATTTGAGATAACAGAATCAAATGAACAAATAGATACATGTGAATGTACAAAATATTATAGTATAAAAAAGTTCTATGCATATATACAGTCAACTTTTTTATTTCTATAGGTTTGGTTAAAATTCAAAACAGATCAATTCTTGCATCTGATTTATTAAGTCTTGTGTGGCACAGAGAATATTAACAACAAGATTTGATAAGCTTACTATTATTATTATTGAACAAACACTAACTTACACAACTTAGTAAACAGTGACTAATTGTATGATTCAATCAAAACTTACTTTTGACGTCGTCCGAGATTAAAACGGGTTTGATTATTCTTGTTGAGGAAGGAAAATTTGAAAACACTAAGATGTCGACTTAGGTTTTTTGAATACCCAAAAAGCGTCTAGAAGCTTCGCGCTGCGGTACATTAATGAGCGTTGTATAATAATTAGCATCGGTATTGAGTTTACTCTGAAATATCATATGACCTTGCTGATGAGAACCTCCTACACATTTAAGTAAGATTCGATGAATAGGTAGGTCATTGACCATTATCACGATTGTCAAGGTTGAATAATTTATATCACACGCGTTAATTTTACACAAACAGTAAATACCTTATACATTGTACATATTATGTAATTTGTGTAGTAGGTAACAAGTTTTGTAAGTAGATAATAATCATAAAGTTTACAATAAATAAAACCTTGATCAAGGACTTATTTCCTGGACTAAAACTAACTAATGGTCTAAGATAATCCAATCTTTAATAATATAATGTAATATGCTTGCATTATTTTAGTACAATTCACTTGTGTCTCTGAAATTACGGTTAAAAAACATGTTCAATAGCCTCTCTATTGAACATGATGATAATGTTCCAAAAATAGATGAATATTGTATGTAACTATAAAGATAAGCGACTTATTTAGGAGTAGCATCAGCTACATACGTAGTATGTAAAAAGGCAACACAGTATGGTTGGTGTTTATAATCATAAAATTGATAATTAATATTAATAACTAAGTCCTAATAGTAATTGGGAATAAATGCTATATATTTTATATCATAATATACTACTATTGTTTTGGTATTAAAACTTTGATTTTGAATGCTATCTGCAGTAGGTCAAGGTTAGTTTAAGTAACACAAAATTTGTCATTCTAATGTTCCTATTAGTGTGTCAAGACGAGCAATTGATAATGAAGCCTACATAAAGTGGATTTCCCACACTGACTATCTGTGTTTATTTTGCAACCTATAATATAGTATAGAGATAAACTGTGGTCAACTTCCGATAAGGATCATAGTGAACTAAATTTCAGATGTAAGCAAATAACAACTGAAGTATAAGTTCTATTATGTTTTTTGCATTAGAAAAAACATCTTAAAAGTGTCCATTAAAATCCATCCACTTATTTTACACTAAACACAAGTAAGCAAGTAATTTTGAAACAAATCATTTTTATTTCTGTAGGTATTGAAATTCAAAGGAAAGTTATTATAACTTGATTATTACTATTTATTAAAAAAAAATAAAAACCTGCATATAAGTGACACCAAACGACATGAGTATTTTTAATGCTATTTGGCTAAAATTTAAATACTTTAAAGTGTGCGATGCGAGTAAAATGTTAAATTTAGGTTTGGCATCCTCAAGTTTCTATACAACACACGTTAAGGAATATGGTAATAAATACTAACTTTCAATTTATTGTAAATATCGAATTCACTTCATACATTTATCTCAACTCAGTTACAATTCAAATAAAACATGTAAAACGTACTATTTATAAGTTGTAGTTCCATAACAAGTTAAAAACTATTTCTTTTCTTACCCCTATGAACCATCGAATTTCAAGAGCAAATCTTCATCCAGACCTAAAATTTGTTTTCAAACTGCTCCTACATAAAAATGGGGATGTTTTAATTTAAAAAATAGCGTTTTGTTAGTTTATTCACTAGGCACTCCATTAAAATTTGAAACAAAGCAAATGCAAACAAACACTCGTCGTATAACACAATGACAATGACAACACAGATCATGTAGGAATAACAATGACAACTTCGATAGACAGACTATATTACAATAAAATACGGTCTTCTGTTTTTAGCCTATGGTTGTTTTGAGGTGTTTGAAATTTAGTTTTAGTTTTTAGTCTATAATATAGATGGCGCATACTGTCAATAAATATAATTTTGGTCACTAACTTTCTAATAAAAAATTCCAACACAAAAAAGTTTTCTAGACTTTTTAAGAAAACTATAAAAAAAATCTTGTAGCTAGCTTTTATCTATAAAGATAAAAAAAAAATAGGGGATATCTTAAAATACCCAACTTTTATAAGGTACACTTAAAGCATATCTACCTTTTTGGTTTTATTAGTACTTTAAACGAATTTATTTGTCTATCGAAAGGCCATACATGATCGAAAATATATTAGGATTTAATTAAAAATCTAGTACATATCTACAATAATTAATAAATACATAGTTGCGATCTGTCTGTCTTAAAAGTCTGCCTAAAAAAACTACACCTACTGTCCATTTAAATGTATAATACCAAGTATACTAAAAAGTGCGTTAGTAAACGTAATCTATTAACGTCAGACAAGCAGATGCATAAACCACAAAGGCTAGCAATATCCGTGGTTTACTGTAAACAACAAATTCTGTATCAAAGACGGCTTTGAATAGCGCGTGAGGCTTAACTTTTAATAAGATTTATTGTAACCGATCTTGTTTTGACACTGACAATAGAAGGAAGTCTTAGCGGCGAACGATGTCCTTTGTGATACTGTGTGGTCTTCGTTTGTGTTGGCCAATATTGTAGTATTATTTTAGATTACACCTGGGGACGTAAAAAATATTTTGACTTTAAATTTTAATGGAACTGGGCTTGTTGCATTTTTAATAAAAATGAATTTATACATCAAGATATACGTTGTGGTTTAGTGGAGTGTGAACTTTTATAACCGTCGTTTGATTGGGAATTCGAATTCCGTCTCGATAAAAATATGTTAAAAAATCTCTTACGGTACAAAAGAGGGATGTTGCCATCTTTTTGGCCCTTATAGAACCTCTTTTTATCCGTAGACAATTTATATACTACTAGCTGGTGCCCGTGACTTCGTCTACGCAGGATAAGGGTTAGGATTACGTAGTGTCGCGCATTTAAACGAAATGATGTCTATCATATTATACATTACATAATTATGTGTAACTAACTTTTATGGCTGCGCACGCCAGAATAGCTCGCAGAAAGGTAGTGTTTTTCCTAGTTACTTAACACATAATGTCATATTTTGGACAGCTCACACAATATCTTTATAAAATAGCCTATGTGTTATTCTGATGTATAAGCTATATTATTGGAAAGTTTAATTGAAATCCATTCATTAGTTTTTGCGTGAAAGAGTAACAAAAATCTATACACACATACAATTTTCACGTTTATAATATTAGTAGGATTCATCTTTACATAGATGTTTATAAGTAACGATTGAGTATGTGGTGTGAAAAGAGATTTTACTCTTTAACGACTAGGATGTTTTTTAAGTTTAATTTTAACTCTTATTCCTTGGACATACGGGATAATTTGATTGTACACGCTGTTTTATGTTCTAACTAAGTAACAAATGCACGGAGTTGATAGTAAACGTTTGAGTTATGGTAATGCACCCCGCGATACCTCCAGCTCTAGTTTGAAAAGTAGAAATAGTTATCTTAACGACGCAAACATATAAACATAAAGATGTCCACGGGGTCCACTGCGCCACTAAAAAGCAATTGTTGTTAAATTTAATGACGCATTAAATAAAAGCAGCATGCGTCATAATAATTAAAGCAATTGCTTTTTGATTCGTTATGTCGAAATGTGTATACAGTGAAATTACGTAAAGGTAGTTAAATGGGAATTAATTTACATTTAAACCGTTCTACGTTTATTCATTTCTTTTTGTTTAAACCACGCCCAATCATAACACAGTTTATATGAATACATATTAATAATAATCAAGTTTTCTCTTAAGATTCTAAATACAATCACTTTTGAGAAAAAACACCTATTGAATCTTTATTATTTTTTACATGTTATTGCACATGAAGGCACTATATAATTTAAAAATCGAAAATAAATTGAAAAAGTTTTCGACTCGGGCAGGACTTGAACCGTCATCGTCAGCGTTCCGTGCTGTTGCTCTTTACAATTTATTTTCGATTTTTAATGTATATAGTGCCATTATGTAAAAATAATTAAGTTTTCAAACACACATGTGTATAAACAAGACTTTGAAATAACATGTAAAATTACAAGATAAAGTTACTCGTTAGATACTT